GGAATAATTAACAACTTCTGTATTAAGGTTAAGTTCTGTAGAAGTAATTTGATTGGGTGCACGACCCCGTGTACAAAAATAAGGTTAAGATGTATCACGTAGGCAAAACAGAAGTTTCTGAAAGTGGGCGGTGTATTGTGTATGTACGTAATATAAGTAATCTAACTCCACGCACAAAGTTTGTGAGTTTTACTTGGTTACCTAGTCCCTGTACATATTATTATGACTGTCTGTCATTTTTACATGTTTACCTAGTCCCTGTACATATAATTATGACTGTCTGTCATTTTTACATGGTTACCTAGTCCCATGTACATATAATTATGACTGGCTGTCATTTTTACTTGGTTACCTAGTCCCTGTACATATAATTATGACTGGCTGTCATTTTTACCTGTTTACCTAGTCCTTGTACATATAATTATGACTGGCTGTCATTTTTACTTGGTTACCTAGTCCTTGTACATATAATTATGACTGGCTGTCAATTTTTACATGGTTACCTAGTCCCTATACATATTATTATGACTGGCTGTCATTTTTACATGGTTACCTAGTCCCTGTACATATAGTTATGACTGGCTGTCATTTTTACCTGTTTACCTAGTCCTTGTACATATAATTATGACTGGCTGTCATTTTTACATGGTTACCTAGTCCCTGTACATATAATTATGACTGTCTGTCATTTTTACATTTTTACCTAGTCCCTGTACATATAATTATGACTGGCTGTCATTTTTACATGGTTACCTAGTCCCTGTACTTATAATTATGACTGGCTGTCATTTTTACATGGTTACCTAGTCCCTGTACTTATAATTATGACTGGCTGTCATTTTTAGCTCACCAGGCCCAAATGTCAGTCGTCCGTCCGTCGTATAAACAACTTCTGAAATACCGAAAGGCGTAGAGTTATCATATTTGGCTGGAAGGTTCCTGTGATGAAGCCCAACAAAGTTAGCAAAAAGAAATGACCTTGACCCATATTCTAGGTCACAGAGGTCAAATGTGTTAAAACATTTAAACGACTTCTTCCAAGATACCGGAAGGCCTAGAATGATTATATTTGGCTGGAAGGTTCCTTTGATGAAGCCCAACAAAGTTTGCAAAAAGAAATGACTTTGACCCATATTAAAGATCACAGAGGTCAAAGGTGTTAAAACCTTTAAACGACTTCTTCCAAGATACCAGAAGGTCTAGAATCATTATATATGGTTAAAGTGGTTCCTTTGATGAAGCCCAACAAAGTTTGCTAAAAGAAATAGCCTTGATCCATAGTCAAGGTCACAGAGGTCAAATATGTTAAACATTCAAACGACTTCTTTCAAAATACCTTAAGGCCAAGAATTATTATATTTGGTTGGAAGGTTCCTTTGTAGAAAAACATAGAAATATCATAAAGTACACATATAGCTACTATTTTTTTCAACTATTTCAATCATCTGTGTTATGTGAATCCTCTATATCATTAATTAAAATCACCTATTAGTAATTCAATTGTAAAAGCTTTTAATTTGTATATTTGATACACTACATACGTGAAGGAAAAGGGTATATACAAAAGGAAATGAATTAATTCAATTCGGTACTAGAATGTTTTTTTAACAGCAGAAAATTTCATAACTGATATTTCTTTTTTGATGCAACACATGCAGTTTATTTCACTGTTTTACTGTAAATGCAGTAGATGGGAGCAGCATCAGCATAACCGACCACATCAATTTGTCCATTTCTGTATTGGTTCTTTAGTTGACTAAGGCGAGAGTCTATGTGGCGGTATTTCCTCTTCTTTGGTCTTAGTTTACCTCCGGTCGAATGTTGGATCATCTTTGCATCATCGGTAGCGTGAATTTTCTTCAGAAGCTGAACAGCCGCAAAGATGTCCGGGCCCGTATGCTGACAGAGCTTGTTGACCTTGCTGTGCCATCCCTCAACATGATTTGTTGTCCGTGGGCCATCGTTGTCATAGTGGTTCCACAAAGCTACAATCTGTCCCTCAAACCACGTTTCTGTAATATAGTCCTTAAATCGTGTAGTTTCAGGGCTAATATCCTCACTGCTGTCTAGGATAGAGAACCAACCCCACATCCTCCTCTTTATCATTGGGCACTAATGGAAGCACAGCTGCGCGTCTCACTAGTTTTTAGTTCGTCATCCTGGCTATAGCGTCCAGCCAGTCCATATCCTTATACTTTCCGCCAGATACACTGTGTGTAATGAAAAAAAAAACAAAAACAAAAAAAACAAGCCACAGTCACTGTAGGAAACACACGTTCCACGGCGTTCCTTGCGGCTACCTCAAAGTCCATTATAACTGTCTCCGGAGCGAAAACAAAGTAAACAGTCTCCTGTATGTCTGTTCTCTGTTCTGTCCTGTTTGGTAGAAGGGCAAATACCAAAGGAAACAGAGTCGAATCAACACATCCATGAAGTGACTATAACTGACTGAATACTCCCGGGCAAGAATGTTCCATCTCCAAACACAATAGACGAGTCACACAGTTTGCTCTAATTGTCATCCGTGGCGAAAATGACGATTCTATGTCCGTTACCGTCGGTGTCATCACAAAAAAGAAACCTCTCTCCTGCTAGGATTTCCGTCCAGGCGCCCTGTAAGTCTACTTCTTGTGTAGATGAAAGTTTTAGCAAAGTCTTTGAACGGGCTCTGTAGAGGGATGCTGTACAACTCTCAAATGTGGGAATCTTTGAAATCATCTCGCCAGCATCATCATCAAATTCTCTATCACGCAGATTTCCTAATGCCTCATTGAAGATAGTAGGAATAGGACAAACTTCTTCACGACAACGTTGTTTAACATCATTGAGAAACACATCCGCTGTCAGTTTGATGGTATCTCCAGGATGGTCATGGATATTTCCAAAGGTAACTGGAATGTTGTTCAGTGTTGTAATAGTGGCCGGGCACGGTCTCTGTACACATCTCCAATAAACTCTATCATTACGTCAGGTCCTGACGGAAAACTTGTAGCCTGCATGAAGAAGATAGTATCCACCCCTTCCGTTTTCTATGAAGCTGATGTTAACCTGTGCATCAGCCATCATGGAATATGAACGATTTGAAAATATGACAATTAGCGCAAGGCTTTTGATATGTTTTGTTTTAATTCCAACCCATCTAGGACAAGAAGAAACGGAAACGCCCATCCAAGCTGTGATGTCTTCTGTCCTCACATCCATGTTTTAATTAATATGAGTTACAACAGCACTGGTATATTATGTTAACATTTAGGTACACAATTACCATTATTTCATGAACGGACTATCAAATGATAAAACAATATTTAAGCAATTAATGTTAACAATATCTATTTATATTTAACAATGCTATCAATTATGTAAGTGATTAACAGAAGACACAACAACATCTAATAGGATATTATATTTTAGAATTACTGGTAGCACGGAATAAATATATATATATTGCGTTTTCAGTTCTAAGTCTGTCATTTGGGAAAAAAATATAGATTAAAACACTTGTAAATACTTTTCTAAATTGATATCACAATTTAAACTCTTGAGATTAAGATTTTAGAATATATTACATAATGCATGTAGATTTTAGTACATATATATTAAGTAATTGCAGCAAACATTTAAGACTTAAATATGATTTCCTACAAAAATTGATTTAAATCTTTATTTTATAAATCATATTCAACTTGTCATTTTTTTATATTTTCTGTCAAGGAAAGTAGGAACAGACTATAGCTGAAAATCACTCGGGTGTAAAATTTGACACGTTGGCCAGGTAATACAGGTAAATTTTCAGAATGTTGGCTAAGTGAGAATGAACCACACGGCGTTGGGGGGCCCACCAGACGGACGGACGACACCACACCTGTATACAGTGCCAGCATTAAACTACAGAAGTACCAGCAGCAGAGTGTGTCTCTTGTTTTATTACAGCTAATGAGTGGTCACCTCGATACACCTGAATGCTGAGCTTCTGTTTCAAGCTAATCGATGAAAAAACAACTAAAACATTTTAATCTAAACATCACCTCCCCAAATCCTTATCTGTCCATCTTACACCTCTTTTTCACCGTCTTTTCTGTCCATTTCCGCCAACTGACATAAATATTCACACCAATTAATAAGTCTCTACACTTGTCATCACGTGATATCTGTACCGTGGTCTATTGTATTGTCTAGACAGGGCTTAGTAAGTAGTTCGAACTTTTTTATTGTGTTTTAATATCGCATTAAGACCATTACACGAAATTCGTTTTTTTACCCAACTATACGTCAGGTTAATTAGAATCAAATGAATATTTCGGCATATCACCCATTAACGCACAAAATCGCAATAATATTTCTAACCACGTTTGCACACCTGATTTGGTATAATTCTTTCCGTGGATAACGAAATTGTAACATCATTTCAGGCATATGAAGTTTAACAAATAATGGGGAAACATACACCAGGTTTAATATCCTGATATTTCAATGCTCAAATGGTAAGATTTTATAAGTGTTATTTCACGTGAAGTATCACGTGTTATTACATTATGTTAATACGTGGTATATCGTTTCCCTCACAATAAAAGTTCACGCACAAGTTCTATGAGTATATAGATCTCAGGGGAAAGCTGTGTGAGCCAGAGGTCACCTTACATGTTAAATGTACGTATTTGTAAGTAAATAGAGAATTTGTCAACATTCATTGATTCACTTTTACATTATACAACCGACAAGTACTGTTAATGGTCACTCTACTTCCGGCTGTATACTTCGGGTTGTATATAACACGAGTAGATTGGTTACGTCTTTCGACACATTGTTGTGTCCAATATTTTGATATTGGTTTTCTCCAGTAAATATTTATTTCCTGTTCGAGGTCACCAATACAGCAAACACGATTTCGTATTGCTATGAAACGGAAGTGACCTTTCGCGTGACCTTTTGATGTCCGAAATAAAAGTACATCTGTTCTCGACTGTCACTTTAAAAAATTAATGTTTCGTAGAGAAGTGGATATGAAGCAGTCTTGTATAATGTTTGTGCATCTGTTGGTCATCATTCTGACCGTTCTGCTGTTACGAATAGGTAGGTCATTTTTATTTATTAAATATATATATCACAGAAAAAACTGACCTTCTAAACGATGTTCAAACGTATTTGAATGTGAAAACCGCCTGTTGTATAAATAAGTGATCATGTATTGCATTTAACAGACATCACACTCAACCTACAATATTTTTCCTTTATTATTTACGGAGAGATGTAGTTTTACACACATCTCATAAGTTTATCCAGGTATCATACGGTATTGAACGGTTTCCATGGTTTCCGACTCATGTGCAAAAGTCATACAAGAACGATATCATTATTGGATTAGATTGTATACATAAATTCAAGTGATAAATCTATAATTTATTTTCTTGAGTCTTTTTCAACTTTATTACTAAAAGAATAAGATCCCGCAATGTAAGATTTAAATATTTCTAGAAATTCTAGGATCCCTATAAAAATTCTCTGAGTACACGACTGGGACGCGCAAGTAGATTTATCACTGAAATTAATTTTAAAAAAAAAGAAAAAGAAAACATGCACATTTACATTTTATCTACAGGATCTTCTTTACAAAAGCTCTTGGTGACTACAGATATTTAATAACTAGGAAAATTTGTCATCATTTAAAATAACATCATTATCGGGGACATAACTTTTAAGATTTTGTGTCTAGGGCGTTTTAGATGGTAATTGCGCGTTACATTAATTAGTTCTACAAAGAAGTTTCGTTAGTTCCTCTAAATGCCACCATTGTAAAGCGTCATATCTTAATGACTGAATAAAAATTTCTTAACTTTGAAGATGAGACAGAAAGCTCTGACCACGCGAGGTAGAATCGGGTCCCTTTGGTGCACAGTTTAAATTATATTCTTTTCTTTAGTGTTTGTACGATGAATAGTAATTTGTAAATATTTGGATGAAAAAATAACTTTTAATCTTAACCCTGTTTCAGATGCAAGTTGTACAATAGGCCCAGCTGTATCAGAGAAGATTGCCTCTCTCAACGATACCTACGGTAAACCACACAAAATCTCCAATAAGCAAATCATTCCATTCTTTTAATTTACTTTACATTTATTCACTGGTGGAAAAAATATTTGTCGGTAAACTTTGATCTTATGACATTTTTAATATGTAATATAAAATGAAACTTTATCTCTATAGTTAGTTCCTATCAGTTAACCAATGAATGTTTGTCGAGTGTGTTTATTTTCAGTATGAATGCAGTCTGGATGACGTCCGACAATAAGTTCACTTCAAATTCTGATCCATTTATCTAATACTGATAATAAAATATGTTTAAATCAAAACCAAACAAAATTCGATACATTTCCACTTCATATATTCATTTTTAAAGACATTGTATTATAATTGTGTTTATTTAACGAGATTTTGTAGTTTTTTTACCGCTATGTTTATTTACTGGAACAGCCTCATGAAAATCATAGTCATTTGAAAGTTTTATGTATTACTATTCTTTGGGTCATCTGAGGCGAAGTGCAAAGCGTTGACGTAAAGCAAGTCAACATGGCGCATGAATTACGTCATATAGTCACTGAGTTGTCACTATTTTAGACTTTTCAATGTACACAGAAAAGTAAAACATTTGAAAACAATAGTGAAACAGCTTTATGTTTTGAGTTTTCAAGCTATCGCACGAAAAAGATAAATGTACTAGTTGTTCGAACGTTGAACTTTTGTAGTGACCCAGTATATCCTGACGTCATCCAGCCTTACGTCATCCTGCTGTGGAGTTTTATCCGAGGTACAAATTTATCCGAAGAGAACCGGCTATATACAGTTCCAGATATGGCGTCCTGTTACTACGAACCAATATCTACTGGTTGGAGAGTTTCGGTATTTAGTGTCCTCTGGTAAATGCGTTAAGTATATATATACCGTATACGCATATCTTTTTATGTTTGAAGTGTAATCAGAATTGACGGGAAAATGGAAAGAAAATGCTGGAAATGTTATTGGATCTAAAAATATCGTTATTTGATTTCATGGAAATTCTTGTTTAACAACAATAACTTAAATTGATTTAAGGTTTCATGAGAAAATGTTTTGTTTTCAGTCGATGTCAACGATACTGTACTGATATCTGACGAGATATCTGTCCAACCAGGCGACAGTATTGGATGGTATGTCTGTCCATTCCGGTGAAGGGTAATATGTGTATTTATGGGATTCGGCCTAATTTAGATGGTATATTTTTGGTTTGTTATTTATATCCAAGAATTCACAATAATGTTTCAGCTGATATCTAACACCGGGAGTACATATATTTCTTAAAATTTGATAAATCTTCTCATTCAAATAACAGTTATCTACATTATGGTATTATTATATTCTAGTAATGGCGCTGGTTTCATGAAATTCACGTCACTTCCGGTAGGTACAGCGAGGCATTTGACATAATTCCCTACACAACCGGAAGTAATGAAGAAGACGGAACAATTGTTCTTCATCCATCCTTGGACCATGCGGTAGGATATCAATACACAGTGGATGTGGGTTTTACGGACGGGCGGACGTACGCTATTCAGTATACAGTTGGTGACGGTATGTGTTAATAATCCAACTAACATTTAAAACATAGTTGAAACAGATGTACTTCTTTCTACATCCTGTCTGAAATTTTCCCTCAGTTATCTATATATGAAGGCGTGATACCGTTTGAATTCTTATTGTATGAGAAACTAATCCACAACCGTTGCAATTAGCAAATTGGTGGCCGTTACGAACAGGTAAACCTGCATATAGCGATTTATATTTGTTCTTCTTACATTTGACGGTTGAGCGTTTCCAGAAAAGCGTGAACATTTTTGTGTTCAAAACCAGCCAAAATGCTTTTAAACGTATTTCATTTCTTTTGTGAAAATAAGTAAATCTGTAAATGTGTCCATTCAGCGGGACATATTTATTATTTCATCCTGCAACTGGCACTGCCATTGTCTAATATGTCTGTCAAAATATAGTTGCTGTATTCGGCAGTGGCGGAAAACACATGTATTTTAGCACGTGCGTTAATTCAACGGAATACTTTCATTTAACAATATAAATACATGTTCAAAAAGCGAGTTATATGTTGTTATGACCAAGTTTATGTACGAAAATTTATAAAATCGCTGCCATATTCGTTGACGTTCAGAATTATATTTCTTAGCGTAACAATCATTTCGACGTAGTTTACAGGCGAAATTCAGCGTAACACCAACGTAAGATAAACAAAGACTGGACGACAAAACTGTTCAAGTTTTGCTGGTTTGATTTTTAATCGGTGTTGCAGAATCAAAGAATACATAGCCAGTGTCTTAAAATATAAGCTGCTATTTGGCCAACGACGGAAATATAGAGGCTTGCCATTTTTGTCTTCTTCACCCTAAATACTATTTATATTTCAAGACACTGACCCTGTATTCTCTTTGTACTGACCATTTGTAATTTCATTTCCATCATGCATTTTTTGGTGATTTATAATTCTCATCAGTGTTTCATTAATCCATCACTATGAAAATGACTAATGAAGCTTAGTGGAATGTGTCTATGTTTTTTTTTACCTTAAATAAAGGCGCTGCACCCACATTTACCAATCTGCCAGCTAGTATTGACGTGTATGATCACACAGTTATTGGGTCGTCCATCTTTAACGTCACTTTCAACGACAGCAACGCCGCAGAATTATCTTCCCTTGTTATGTCTGTTTCCTTCTACGAGCCGTATCGTGGGACCCCCGCAATCATTATTGATCTGAACACAGGTAAATGTCCATGAATAAACTACAACAAACGTAATTCTTAAGATTTCAAATTTATCAGCGGCTGATATACTGAATGAAGGATTTATATATTTTTCTTGTTTCCTTGCGAGTTTTTTCATTTGATTGGTGTGTGCACGTATATGATGATGTTTATAAGTAATATTTGTGAATTGACAGATATGATATTAATTTAAGCCTTCAGTATTTGAATTCATATATTTAAATATTATGTCTCTGCGTTCGGTAATCTTTTGATATTAATATTCAACACCCTAGCAACAGATTTAAGTTGACTGCGTACAGTATATCCATCAACTTAACGATTGTTTACACAGGTCAGGTGACCACCGCTAGCCACCAATTGCATGTTGGATCTGTGACCTTGACCTTGACCCTAACAGATATATGTGGACTTTCGGACACCCAAACGCTGACCGTTAATATCATTAACCAGGTAATTCAAGCATAGTAAAGTTAAGATGTTTTACTATGAATGTTTCGCATCAATTGTAACCGTGATATGGTTGGAAGGTAATTCTACATGACGTATTGAGAATGCAGCCATTTCCGTCAGCGTTGACAAGTCTCTAAAACTCGACCTGTATCTCCTACATAAACAGTAGACTATTAGTTTCAATGAATATTTTTATGATTATAATTATCACTTTTAATTTCTATCTCGAAGGAGGCGTTTTTTAATCGGACTAATTTTAATGTAATTCAATCTTGACACACTGTTGTTGAGCCTTAGTGGTATAAAAATATGTTTTAATCACTGAACTTTGACCTATCCATTTTCAACAATTTTTGGGACACATATGATTCTTTCAATGGAAGAATGTCCAATTCCTTTACATATGAACTTCTGTGAGCCGTATTAATCAAAATTTGACGTAATTTCAAATGGGATTATCTCCCCCACCACAGCCACCCGTCTTCAGTAACCTCCCATCTGCGGTCGATTTGTCCGAGACAGTAACTTTAGAAACACTTCTGTATACGCTGTCAGTGTCCGACCCCTCACATGACCCTGTGACGTGTGCGATGACGTCATCCTCTCCAGCAGACGCTCCATTCCTAGTACAACTCGTCCCAGGGACGACAGGTGAGTACTGTCCCGACTTCCTGAATTAGTTTTATTTCGAAAAATTGCTGTAATTTGAAATCCAACAGGACGAATGACGTTTGGTCAAGGCCCTCAAGGGTTTGATATCTGGGCTTCAATACTGTAAATGTTAGATTTTTGTCCAGATTTGGCTTAAGCATCCTTGGGTTTTGTTTAAACGTTGGACCTTATTTCAATCTTAATTCAAAATCAAATTGAGTGAAACAGTGGTAAAATATAAATAAAAGAAAGATTTACATGGAAAACCCCTGAAATAGTTCCAGGAGAATAGTACCAGGTGTTCTGGAAGGGTAAGCGTCTTCTGATTCATCGATAACACCTGATATGTAAAATCTGGATCAACCCAAGTATGTAATGCCACATTCCCAAATGAGAAAAAGGTTAACTACAACAGCAAACCAGCAACAATTAAAGTTCCACTGTAAATGATCGATAGATGGTTATTGTATACTCAGGGGCTTGCGGTTTCCGGAGGAAGGGACTGTGCACTATACTATAGGTAGCCATTTTAGTATACTACTTATGTCCCCTTCCCCATCCAGAAACATTGTTTCATGTCCCTGTGGATAGATAAAGGTTATTAATAACAAAAAGAAAAAGAATGAGTCAGTGATTTGTATTTAGTGAAGGCAAATAAGGAAATCTATGTATTTATCCTAGGAAATTCATTGTATCGATAGTCTAGCTACAGTACACACATATGATCATGTCAAAAAGCAGTTTAGCGATCGTGGTTTTAGGTCCCTATCATTACGCAAGGCAGTTGCAATATCAGTTTTTCATTATTGTTGTTGTTAAAGACAGAGTATTAAGTTAATTTGTAGCTGAGATGTGTAACACAGATTACTGAATACAAGCTTCCATTGGCACAGATTTTGGCGTGTACAGCAGATTGATGCCTCATTTTGATTTCTTGAACATTAATCAATATGTGTTGACCATCGACTGTACGGACACCAAGGACACAACACCTGGATATTTTACTGTCAACATTTTACCCAACACCGTGCCTGTCTTTCTTAATATCCCCGGTGAGTTTATTCCACTGGAAATAGATTACTGAACTTCCGGTCAGAGAAAGTTAACTAAGTCTCTGTTTTGTTTGCGTAACGTGTGCAGACAGCTAGAGTCTGGTTGAACGAGATTAGAAGCTGCTGGACGTCACATTATGTTATGTTGGTAAGACATTAAAAAGTCATGAAAGACAGATGTCTCGACTTCTTAATGTCTTTATCTACTTTATGACAAGCTCTTGTACTTACCTAAAAAGTCGATCCTAACACCTCAGTTAATATACTGCAATAATTCTACGTCACTATCGTCATGATGTCGACTAGTATAATTTCGATCTTTAAAACTTCGGTAAGTCGATTTCGATATATATATCTACCTTCGATATGTCGATCATAGTACACTGGGTAAGTCATTTTCACTGGAGTGAAATTGTCAGTTTGTTAAGATCTACCCCAATACCATCAATAAGGTAAATTTGACATGAAATATTTTCAATTCATTCGTATTTTGTCGATTTCTTTTATTAGATATATATTGTCTTACTAGAGAACATAATGAAGTGGGGATATGTTTATAAGAAAAATCAATCATAATTTGCTATCATTTCATTTATAATAGTCAGTAGAGGTAATGCCATGTGATGTTTGATTTCAGCATCCGTTACCATAGCAACAACAACACAGATTGGTACTGTGGTGTACACTGTTTTGGCAGCTGACAATGAAACAAATGATTTGGAGTTTTGGATTGCGAGCTGTTCTTCTTGTTGGTTTACAATTGCGGATAGTAAGAACTTTTCTGACTAGGTTTCCTTTCGTTTGTGCGTGTTAGTGCGTGTGTTTATATCAAATTTCCAACAATTCAGATTTAATAAAAATTTAGTTGACTTGATAGAAATGTTGAAGCTGATAACGGGATTTGGCGAAGTTCAATGGAAAAAAGAAGGAGAAAAAAAATTAAATGTGATCGAGATGTAAGAATATCGTGAGCTGTGTAATGGTTTACAAAACCGTCATTTCATCAAGTTTCAGATTTCAAATATCAATAAATTTGGTCACTAGGTTGTGAAACAGATTTCGGAGTGACCGGCTGTTGATATTAATGTTGTAGCCGGACAAGTCATTTTGACCACGCCCATACTTACCACGACTAGAACTGTGTATAATATCCGTATCAGAGTAAGTGACAATGACTTGACGTCAACAGATACCAGACTCAGCATCATCATTTCAGGTAAATATCAGCGTATCAATCTGTGATTGGTCGCCAAAATCCGGTCTAGACCAATCAAATCACTTCGCTTAGGCTATCATTTTTGCCGGAGAATGTTCCAGGGGTGCAAATAGCGAAAGTGATGTAGCCTTTGGAGCGTTGAGGATCGCCGTGAATTTACGTCTGCCATTTTCATTCTAGGCGTCAATAACCAACCAACGATCAACAATTTGCCTCTGACGTTGAATATCCTGGAATCTGTCGCCATAGGAACGGCGATCTTCACATTAGATGTGACTGAGCACGACACAGACGACATCTTGAATTACGTCATTTCGTACACGCCCTCCTCTGCAGCGGCCAAGTTCCGGTTTGATACCAGTCGTAAGTATCTAAAGAACAGCTGAATATGTAATACCCTTATTGTTATTTTCTTAACTTTATTGTCCAAGTTAAAGCATTTGAAGCTTTGTATTACAAAAGTTTGTGTGCTTCATGATTCCATGATTACCAACTCATATAGCCTTTTAAAGACAGACGTTGTTTCGGATTAGTATTTGCTTAATTCCACATCGGACGAAAAGTTTTAAAATGTCTCTTTTTATATCGCAATAATTATTCTATAAAAGATATCAATTCGATTCCGAAATATACCGAACTTTTTAATTGTTTTTTCCTTCGACTGATCACGTGCAGTGAATTGATAACATCTTAAATCTTTGAATTATTTAAGGCTTCTCGAAATCCCTGTGTACTAATACTGTTGTATATTGCTATCAATTAAAGACTCAATACTTAGGCAGGCCAATTTATTTGAGTGTTGGTGGTGTTTTTTATGTTTGTAAATACCAAGTTTTATTATCAACATTTGGCAGTAAGTGTCTTCATGTTTAATTTCATGTTTTACAAGAATGGAAAAGTTTTGAAATTTGGGAGATATATCTAATATCAAATCTGTTATTGTAATTTAAGGTAAACAGTTGTTGTTGATTCAAAGCCTCGATTTCGAGTCAGGGACCATTCAATACACGATAGGGTTCACAGTTGACGATGGGTCGTTGAGTGCTGGTCCTTCGTCCTTGACCCTTGACATTCTTGACGATAATGAGGCGCCGACGTTTGATAGCGAAATGTATTACGTCACTGATTCAGAGAACAGAAATGTGAGTATTCTGATTTTGTCACTAAATTTTGAAGTTGGTCACGTGATAAAGAAGGATTTTTCATTTTACATGTATTACATCACATTTAGTTAATTCCGCTATTGATATGATCAATATATAACATTTTATCACCGTGATAATTTGACTGTTGTGGTGTGTAATACGACCATGTCATTTAAATATCGTAATACGCACGTATAATAACACATTTGTGACGTCTTGATGAGGTCACATAATTGTCCGGCAGAAAATGTTCAGGCTGACTTAAAGGGAAATTGATTTGAGTATATGAGTTATATCATAAACAGAATTTTACACGCGTGCTCATGTGGCTACTTTGAAATGTTACACACCTTAATACTTCTGGAGCAATTAATGAAATACACTAATTCTATATTACATCACACCCATGTTCATTTTTTTCTAAATTGTATGAATCCCACATGTCTTTGCTTATATTATCATCTTAATTAGTTCCTATATTATATAAACATACTCTATGAATCCCTGGATCTCTGTCATGAAATGCAGAAAATTTGTGCATAATGGGGCTTTCTTGGTAAACACGAAAAAAATTGATAGAATCTTCAACAGGTTATTTCTAGACATCTTATAGGAAACAAATTGTTTTTAGATTGGCTATAGTCTGCCCAGTGTGGGTTTCACTGTAACAGACCCCGATTCGGGCGACTCTGTGACGTATTCCATAGCTTCCGGTGACCCCCAAGAGCGCTTTACAATCGACGCTACTTCCGGGATATTGGAGTTTGCTGTTAGATACGACATCGATTATGGTACTGACCAAATGCCAGCGGTAGTCAATTTGACCATCAGAGCGACCGATACAGGAGGACTGAGTGCTACAACCCTGGTACAAATCACCCTTCAAGACAGCAACGATAATCGACCTTACTTCAGCTCTGACACGTTCGAGGCGAACATTCCAAATGACTATCCGGTACTGTTGTGATATTGATAGAAGTTGGCCGATTTTAAAGCTGTCAAACAATACATATATACTGGAATATGATCACTTAATGACAAAGAAAATATAACAAAATATGTAATAATGTAATAGAATATGTAATAATGAGATAGAATATGTAATAATGATAGAGAATATGTAATAATGATATAGAATATGTAATAATGTAATAGAATATGTAATAATGATATAGAATATGTAATAATGATATAGAATATGTAATGATGTAATAGAATATGTAATAATGTAATAGAATATGTAATAATGATATAGAATATGTAATAATGTAATAGAATATGTAATAATGATATAGAATATGTAATAATGATATAGAATATGTAATAATGTAATAGAATATGTAATAATGAGATAGAATATGTAATAATGTAATAGAATATGTAATAATGAGATAGAATATGTAATAATGATATAGAATATGTAATGTAATAGAATATGTAATGATGATATAGAATATGTAATAATGATATAGAATATGTAATGATGATATAGAATATGTAATAATGATATAGAATATGTAATGTAATAGAATATGTAATAATGATATAGAATATGTAATAATGAGATATAGAATATGTAATGATGTAATAATGTAATAGAATATGTAATAATGATATAGAATATGTAATAATGTAATAGAATATGTAATGATGTTATAGAATATGTAATAATGATATAGAATATGTAATGTAATAGAATATGTAATGATGATATAGAATATGTAATAATGATATAGAATATGTAATGATGATATAGAATATGTAATAATGAGATAGAATATGTAATGATGTAATAATGTATAGAATATGTAATAATGAGATAGAATATGTAATAATGATATAGAATATAAAAATAAAGAAAATATTTTGTAGATTTCTTTCTAAAAGGTAGGATGTTGTATAGTGTTGAAAATGTGTTTTAATTATACTTTCTAAAAGGTAGGATGTTGTAAACTGTTGTAAATGTGTTTTAATTATACTTTCTAAAAGGTAGGATGTTGTAAACTGTTGAAAATGTGTTTTAATTATACTTTCTAAAAGGTAGGATGTTGTAAACTGTTGAAAATGTGTTTTAATCATACTTTCTAAAAGGTAGGATGTTGTATAGTGTTGTAAATGTGTTTTAATTATACTTTCTAAAAGGTAGGATGTTGTATAGTGTTGAAAATGTGTTTTAATTATACTTTCTAAAAGGTAGGATGTTGTATAGTGTTGTAAATGTGTTTTAATTATACTTTCTGAAAGGTAGGATGTTGTATAGTGTTGTAAATGTGTTTTAATTATACTTTCTAAAAGGTAGGATGTTGTAAATGTTGTAAATGTGTTTTAATTATACTTTCTAAAAGGTAGGATGTTGTATAGTGTTGAAAATGTGTTTTAATTATACTTTCTGAAAGGTAGGATGTTGTATAGTGTTGAAAATGTGTTTTAATTATACTTTCTAAAAGGTAGGATGTTGTATAGTGTTGAAAATGTGTTTTAATTATACTTTCTGAAAGGTAGGATGTTGTATAGTGTTGTAAATGTGTTTTAATTATACTTTCTAAAAGGTAGGATGTTGTAAATATTGTAAATGTGTTTTAATTATACTTTCTAAAAGGTAGGATGTTGTAAACTGTTGAAAATGTGTTTTAATTATACTTTCTGAAAGGTAGGATGTTGTAAAGTGTTGAAAATGTGTTTTAATTATACTTTCTAAAAGGTAGGATGTTGTATAGTGTTGAAAATGTGTTTTAATTATACTTTCTGAAAGGTAGGATGTTGTAAAGTGTTGAAAATGTGTTTTAATTATACTTTCTGAAAGGTAGGATGTTGTAAACTGTTGAAAAGTGTTGAAAATGTGTTGTAAATATACTTTCTGAAAGGTAGGATGTTGTATAGTGTTGAAAAGTGTTGAAAATGTGTTTTAATTATACTTTCTGAAAGGTAGGATGTTGTAAAGTGTTTAAAAGTGTTGAAAATGTGTTGTAAATATACTTTCTGAAAGGAAGGATGTTGTATAGTGTTGAAAAGTGTTGAAAATGTGTTTTAATTATACATTCTGAAAGGTAGGATGTTGTAAAGTGTTGTAAACTGTTGAAAATGTGTTTTAATTATACTTTCTGAAAGGTAGGATGTTGTAAAGTGTTGAAAAGTGTTGAAAATGTGTTGTAAATATACTTTCTGAAAGGTAGGATGTTGTATAGTGTTGAAAAGTGTTGAAAATGTGTTTTAATTATACTTTCTGAAAGATAGGATGTTGTAAAGTGTTGAAAAGTGTTGAAAATGTGTTTTAATTATACTTTCTGAAAGGTAGGATGTTGTAAAAAAATTTAAAAGTGTTGAAAATGTGTTGTAAATATACTTTCTGAAAGGAAGGATGTTGTATAGTGTTGAAAAGTGTTGAAAATGTGTTTTAATTATACTTTCTGAAAGGTAGGATGTTGTAAAGTGTTGAAAATGTGTTTTAATTATACTTTCTGAAAGGTAGGATGTTGTAAAGTGTTGAAAATGTGTTTTAATTATTCTTTCTGAAAGGAAGGATGTTGTAAAGTGTTGAAAAGTGTTGAAAATGTGTTGTAAATATACTTTCTGAAAGGTAGGATGTTGTAAAGTGTTGAAAATGTGTTTTAATTATACTTTCTGAAAGGTAGGATGTTGTAAAGTGTTGAAAAGTGTTGAAAATGTGTTGTAAATATACTTTCTGAAAGGTAGGATGTTGTAAAGTGTTGAAAATGTGTTTCAATTATACTTTCTGAAAGGTAGGATGTTGTAAAGTGTTGAAAATGTGTTGTACGTATATTAACGCAGATAACACGTGTTTCTACTTCTCAGGTGAAGTCAAGCATTGTATCTGTCATAGCAACGGATATAGACTATACATACAACGAAATACAATATACCTTAATATCAGGAGATATCCAATACTTTGCCGTGAATGAAGAAGGATGGGTTTATCTCATCAAATCTGTGGCAGAGTTTTACAACTACACAACTCTTTACGTCCGAGTACAGGTTAGCTCATTACCTATGTTGTTACTATGGTGATATATCTGACAGTTCTAACCAAAGACGTAGAAAGCAAACTTATTTTCGTCTTTGTTATTTAACTTTCGCTCGTTTTTGATTTTTCGGGGTTTTTTTTTTCGCCTTGTATCTGTCTGATGATAGAACAAATCAGTCGGTTATGTATCATTGATGTTTGGATCCGGCTTAATCTTCTTGATTCAAGTTCACCCTCGTTTATTCTTATTCATATATTTTCCTTTCCTCATTTTTTCTTATTCTATTCCTATTGTTGTTTCGTTTTGTTTTTATTCTGTCTTATTCCTCTCTTTATTTTTACTCGTGTCTATTCTCATTCTTATTTATTTCTGTTCATGTTGTTTCTTTTTTTCATATTCTTGTTGTTTCTTATTCTTTTTTATTCCCATTCTTTACGTATATGATATTGTTATTTATTTCTGTTCATGTTGTTTCTTTTTTTCAAATTCGCGTTGTTTCTTATTCTTTTTATTGCTATTCTTTTCTATTCCCATTCATTAATTATATGATATTCTTGTTATTTCTTATTATTTTGATTGCTATTCTGTTTTATTAATATTCTTTATTATTCATATTTTTTCCCTATTATTTATGTGTATGATATTCTTGTTATTTCTTATTTTGTTTATAGGCATATTCTCACGGCCATAATGCCTACTCCAATGCCTACATCCTTGTGAGCCCAGCACTAGGCGACAGTCTGTTCAATCACACTGGGAACATCCTGTGGTTCAGCGCATGCGTAGTGATTGTAACACTTATCGTCGTCCTGTTTGCGTTTATGACGTATCGGTATTTCCGGTTTGGGTACGCTTGCTCGCCAAAGAAATGGACAGTTAAGTAAGTTTTATTCAAAATAAAAATGTAATAAATTCAATGTTTAAACGTTAGATAAACATTCAGTTACATTTATTATTTTTTCTACTTGGAAATATTTTCGAAATAAATTCTTTTTCAACGTTATCAAGTCATTCCATGTTTTGTACACTGTATGTGACAATTTTTACTTTCAATTGTAATGCTTTACAAATTACTTACTATAAATTACTTTTTTCAGAATGCATATTCTGAGTCTCTTTTTTTCCAAATGAAAATAATTTTGGAATAAGATTCCTTTCCAAAGTTAACAATATCTAAGTACATTTATAATGCTTACATAGCAATTCTTTTCGCTTTAGATGTAACACTCTAAGACTTGGATGGAAAAGTTTGAAAGAAAAACTACAGAATGGCGTGTACACGTGCCGAGCAAAATGGAAGGCATGGAAAATATCGAAGAAAACTGAGACACAAACAACAAAGCCAAAAAAAGTGAGATTTTCACTGGAGAAGGAGGACATGCCCAACTCACACCAACATTATTGTGGTATTTACGACAGATTAAAGAGGGCTTTGTTTTCATCAGAGAAGGCAAAGACATCAAGCCCCAAATCCCGCGGTCTTTATCAAAAACTGATCTCATGTTTACCGAGTTGCAAAAAGCCTACCGAAAGGATACAAGTGGCCCGTAAGTACAAACGTATCGACACAAATAATACACAGAGACTGACATACAATGTGAATCCATTGAAATATTTAAAGGTTCCCTAAAGTAACATTATAATTGAATTAAGTGTCGTTTCTTTCCGTTGAATAAATATGAAACTTGTTAGTGTTACAATGTGTTCTGTAAATAAATATCTGTATTTTTGTGTCTACAGCTGTTAAACCGGAGCTACCTCTTCCTGTAAACGAAAGTTACAATTGGACACCTTGGCGGAGTCAATGGAATACTTCCTCGTACGTGAGCGATGTTTACGTCTGAGATTATCCAAAATATTTTGTTTGTCTTCGTTACTGTTTTGTTTTGTTTGTGTGTTATGTGTAAATAAGATCATTGATTTGGTGGATTAAACATCATCTGCCCTTCAGACTTCCTGATAGAGTGGCTGGACGAAACCTCTTGACAACTTAACAGCTGGCTTAACAGCTGACCTAACAGCTGACTTAACGCTTTCGTCCGATACTGAATAACAGTTAGTTGTTGTAAGGACTCGGTCGTTTACCGTCTTTCCATAACAAGGGATACAGAAGTTTTCGAAAGCTTACAAATATCGCTTCCGATCATTATTTACAATGTAATGTTAAAGATTTTGGTAATTACAACCCATCTTACTTTACAACATAAAAAAAAACTTTTTAAAAGATTTTTAACATTTGTCTTTAACCTTTTGGTTTGTTCAATGTTATTTCCTTTTGGATCGCTGTGTGGTTAACCGGTTGATGACCCTCATAACCCTATATGTGTCGACGCCACGTTAAGATTGTCATGAAAATAATAATAATAACAATAATAATAATCAAAAAATGAAAATTAAACCTTGTTAGATTTTTTTAATTTTTTTTATTCTTAGTTTTTATTTTTTTTTAACTCAAGGCGGCGGGGCTATATTTCAGTAAAGAAATTAGTGCTTAAATTCGGAGACTTTACATTTTCCATCAGTTTTTTTTTCCAAATGTCAATCTGTTTGTTTTACAGGGCATACAATGTATAAAGAAGATGGCTGGAACAAAGAACGCTCAATATAAATAAAGAAAATTATGTATGACGTATAAAAATTAAATTCTGTTCCAAATTAACCTGCTTGTTATTGTATTAATTAAATACTGTAAACTCAGCAATTTTCGTGGGAATTTTGTTTTCGTTGATTTCAGGGGTACATTTAATTCACGAATCCGTATATCCAAAAACAATATACATTTCCATTGCAATAACTTCGTTAGGGGAACATAAAATCTTAAAGCCAATACGAAAAGACATCAATAGACAGGTGACACCAAAATGAAAGGAAGAACAATATACAATTCTGACACAATAGCTAGAATCGCACGTCTGTGATACAACAGACAAAAGAGCTAGATTCATAGAACCTAGGTGCATCGTGATCACACAATTCAACATAAATTATCTTGATACACATTAGCGGCAACCAAACAAATCGTTAAGATTTACACGTCCATAAGGCAAAGGATTAGGGGGTCACAAAAGTCAGTATCACAGATAATTGCAGAGTGGTTGCCAGGTTGTATTTAAGCACGTCGTTTCATTACTCATAACATTATAGTGTACCCTACATTATGTTTTGAAGGTATTTTCCCTGATTGTTCGTACACTGGAAAATATTCCCATGTCAATATAGCGCCAGAAGAAACCTCATATCTACATTCTTGTGAATATATTCCAGATTAACAATAAATTAACGGGAAGCTCTGATATAAAATCAAAACACAGTAAACCTTCATTACCTTCATCAGTCGCAAAACAAGCAAGATATCTATGTACATGCGTGTCTGAGATGAAACATATACTGAACTACATAGCTCCCTTGAGTGAATAAATCAAAAAGTGAAAAATTTACAGCAGTTCAGTCCGAAGTCGGAGAAAACAGTATGTAACTAAGGAAATATCGAACAATGTACATTTACATATATCCAAGGACGGGCTACCGACTTCAACCACAGCTTTAATTTATCAAATGTCAATGACCACAACATAAACTACAACAATCCCGAAGATGATTAAGATGGAATGACCTTTATTATGACATCGGGTCTGTAAGTATGAACGTTTTCATAATTTTCTCGCTGTATTAAGCAAACCCAATGTCAGTATTCGTTCAAAACCGTGATTCAAACTAACAAGCAACCCAATGACGTCAGCATCTGAACGAAAGACACGAAAATGTACACGAAAATTCATCAAATGGTATAAAGCTAACAAGCCCACGTGATCCGGAAGTGTTTTCTGGTGCATTGATTGCCTGAAACGTGCAATTCTAGATCAAATGTAGAAAATACTGGGTTTATAAAAAGAGAGCGTGGGTAGTGTTATAGTAATCACACCAACTAGGGACCCACGAGGTATTATATCGAAGAAATGGAGAATAAATCAAGACAACCAAGATAACGTAGATCTCTATGTTTTTATTCCGGAATCTCTCGTGATCCTATGTAATACTGTATACCGCCAGAAATCGACAATTCTGGTTATCTGGAGACACTTCATGTACAGAAAAAACACAGGAAGCTGGATGGTACTACCGGAAGACGTTCACTTAAAAAATCGGTGATAACAGGGCCATGTTAGTCATTGATATAGTAAGGTACACGTAAATTACACAAGGCGAGACATCTATAGTCCTTGTTGTGATTTGTACAAAAGCGCCATTGACATATCAAACAGCGATATCAAATTAATTTACCACAGTATTCCATAAAGTATGCTTAAGCTAATGTTCACGAGAGTATGCAATTATTTGTTGAAATATCTCGCCATCAAAGACGATAATTTCAATGTTAAGTAATGGCCTTTTGGACAAGACGTGTACGGGTGAAAATGTTATTCAAACATTCAATGTCGTAAGGTTTATCGCCCAGTAAACAGCCAGGGTCATTCTGTAAAGGCGACACCCCATTGCAGTATCTGGTGGTAATTTCATTGAAAAACATACGGGAGGCCCACGCTCATGTCAGCATGAACCGGTCTGTTTCTCTGGAGTCCAAAGTGTTGCACCTAGGATCTAACTGACTAACGCCTCCGAGATTTTAGATGACACGTCAGATATCCGGGTAGAACTGTTTTCCCGGTAGGGAAATTGTTACTAGACTTGTTTATGATGAGTTTGATGTAAATCGCGCATGTTTTGATAAACAACCAATTGACCATCATAATCAACGTCGCCAGAGAAATTAAAGACAATCACTTCATGACTTATCTATCAGTAGTGAAGGTAGATACAACAGCTTTCAGTAATGTTAAACGTATTTCAAACTTATAAGGAGTATTAGCATAGGAGAACTATGGGGTTAAACGATAGTATAATATTCTCTTTCGTTTTAGTCTGTCTAGTTAAAGGAAAACTTTTTAATATCTTTTATCGTTTGTTTATCATAAAACCAACAAACAAGTAAAAACTAAATATAGAAAACAGAAAAAAAACAGAAAGGTTGAAAAAAAAAAGAAAATCAGAAAAATTGTGAAAAAAAAAAGAAAAAAAAACAACACAAAATAAAAAGAAAAAAATGAGAGAGGAAAAAAACGGGAAAGAAATCCAAAATGTACGGTCATACCTGTAAAATTCATTCTCTCAGTAGAAACATTGTTCATACATATTATGTGTTGATCCATATAAACTGGAACACTGTCGTTTCATAACGCGGAACGTGGGATAAACAAACATGTAGACATTTCACAGACGTTATAATGATCATTGTGTAACGTCCGTGACGTAAATTGACATCAATCGAGACAAAATAAAGGAACAATCATGTACGTGGTTAGTTTGTATACGTCTTTGAACTTTTGATCTTTATGGAGGGAAGGAAATTATATCAAAACGGTATGTAAATAAATAAAATAGGACGTTTATATGTCTGAATAGTATCACCGTAATGATACACTGGTCAGTGTGTTAATTTTGCAGACGGGCATTCTGATCCTGGCTTACATGAATTTTGTAGCGATAATCTAGTCAGGCATTTATTTCTTGTTTTGATTTAAACATATTTTATTGGTATCAAATATTCAGGTAGGATTGGGCACACGTTTTCTAACTTATATCAAGGCCTTTCCTGTAAAGTTTGACAAAAAACATATTAACAAGAGAAGACGACATGTTTAAATACAATTATAATGCGAAGAGAGAGAGAAAGAGAGAGAATTTAATTAATTTCTTGTAAATCGAACTCTCCTACAATGAACAACACTAGTAAAAATACAAAACACTTTCCAAAACTTGCAAACTTTTTCTTGAGTTCGTCACATCTCGTGCTCATTTCACTTCCTCTTGTCATACGGGTCCTTCAAGTAAACATCCCCACTAATGCGTCGGACCAAAGAGAGATCACAATCTCTTTGAGGTAAGTATATATTGCTGAGTGATTTGACATATTTTTACATTATCTTCGCACAAGTAGTTAATGATAGCATATTAATGTTGACAATATAAAGTGTTAACATTATATCCTATTTCATTTAGTCTTGTAATTTATTAACTAAAACAGATATATTTATCTAAGGAATACATTTTATACCTTCTCTAAGCTGTTAAGACCAGCGTGGTGTCGTGATTGTGTCCTTACGTTATCCTTGTGTTGATGTATTTTTATTATTCCAAACAGATTGTATTGCCATAGCAATGAACCATACGATCGAGGACAAGTTATTGAAACATTTCTTTCCAAAAACAAAACGGATCACGAATCTATACCTCTATCTCTTGTTCTTACTGATATATTAATCTCCGATCTAAGAAAATATATTTATAAATTATAAACTTATTGTTTTTCAAAATCTTTTGATATATTTGATGAAATTATGCACATTTCTAAATATCATTTCGTTAGTGTTAACAGGCAGATTTTCATTTCCAGAAAGACCTAAACTTTAATTCAAAACCAAAGCTATATTTTCAAGATCATGGAAAAGCTACTGTCTCAGCTTTTATATATTGGTACAATCTAAGAAAAAAAACATGTTTACCTGGTTTCTACTTGAGCACTCAGCGCCATCAGTCAGATTTACACAAACATAGATAGCTGCATTGATGACGTAACCTTGTGCGTATTTAAGTTTCTGTTACCCGAGTTAGACAAGAAGTTTTAGCTGGTTTGGAGTTAGAGAGGATTCAATAGTTTACAAAGATGGTGAAGATATAGACAAAATTTTAAGTGCATTCCATCCTCGAAAATTCAGTGTTTCTTACCGGATAATGAAAAATTTGACCAACTGTTGGGGGTAACAAAGGATTTTAAAAAGGTGCTTGAAGGTCTGTTTCAACTTACAGAGAATTAATACTTGCATAAGTGGGTAAAACTGTCTCAATATGACACTGTTTTTATCCCCTATCTAGTTAGAGTTATCCCCATCACACCCGTCCCATGATTCATTAGCATATTCTAACGCGGATAAAATAAAGTCCATTACAGTTTAACGATATAGTACGTTTGAGCATATATTTAAAATGTCTTAAAGCTGTAACATCACTAATAGGATATTTTCAAAGTGGTCAGCCAATTTGCCTTTAACAACGAACATTACAGCCATGAGGCCGTGACAATATCTGAAACTACACTATCACATCTGAGTTTGTTCTAAAAAGAACTCCTGATTTGTTACGGTAAAAGTTGAATAGATATTTTTTGGTCTTGTTGTTTCAAGATTCCAAATCCTGATTAAGTATGGTTTGTAAGTCATCACAGATGAACCACTTAATGAGTAATTATCCGCGAAAAGACGGGAGGCCGAGTGTAAAACATACACAGTATCCTTAATATAGAATCAGGAATAATGAAAGGCCCAGGAAACAACCCTGTGGAACTCCAGCTTTAATAAAACCATACTCAGAAAATACATTTGAAATAAATATGTTTTATCTTTTATCGGAAGACAATTTTCTAACCAATTCAACAAGTCTCGTGTTATACCATAAGACCTTAACTTAATTGATAATCCCCCATGTCAAACAAGATAAAAACCTTTAGATATATTACAGAACACTAAACAGGCATGTTTTCCCTTCAAGAGCAAAACAGATATTTTGTTAAATTTCAATGCGCTGATAAATAGAGGAGTGATCCGGAATAAATCCTGGCTGATACTTGTATAAAGAAGATGTGCTAAAATATTACCCTCTCCACTTTTTGTCTCTCATGAAGAGGAGTGAAGGACGAGTCTGTCCTGTTGTAATTGTGTCCTTGTCAGTAACACACTGGTAGAGATTTTTTATATATGTTTTCTCTGAACGACAACTCTGGTAGAGATTGTTTACAGAAGTGTATTGTGACTGTTTAGGAACGACATCTCCGGTAGAGATTGTTTACAGAGGTGTCTTGTGACTGTTTAGGAACGACATCTCCGGTAGAGATTGTTTACAGAGGTGTCTTGTGACTGTTTAGGAACGACATCTCCGGTAGAGATTGTTTACAGAGGTGTCTTGTGACTGTTTAGGAACGACATCTCCGGTAGAGACTGTTTACAGAGGTGTCTTGTGACTGTTTAGGAACGACATCTCCGGTAGAGACTGTTTACTGTTTAGGAACGACATCTCCGGTAGAGACTGTTTACAGAGGTGTCTTGTGACTGTTTAGGAACGACATCTCCGGTAGAGACTGTTTACAGAGGTGTCTTGTGACTGTTTAGGAACGACATCTCCGGTAGAGATTGTTTACAGAGATGTCTTGTGGCTGTTTAGGAGCGACAGCTCTGATAGAGTTTGATTGCAGAGATGTCTTGTGACTGTTAAGAAACGACAGCTCCGGTCCCTTCAATGTCTAGTATACCTTTATTGTACAATGTCCCTTCAATGTCCAGGGTCAGTCTTAATGTCCAGTGTCCCTTTATTGTTCAGTGTCCCCCTTAATGTCCCTTTAATGTTCAGTGTCCCCCTTAATATCCAGTGCCCCCCTTATTGTCCAGTGTCCCCCTTAATGTCACTTTAATGTCCAGTGCCCCTCTTAATGTCCAGTGTCCCCCTTAATGTCCAGTGTCCCTTTATTGTTCAGTGTCCCCCTTAATGTCCCTTTAATGTCACGTGTACCCCTTAATGTCCAGTGTCCCTTTATTGTTCAGTGTCCCCCTTAATGTCCCTTTAATGTCCAGTGCCCCCCTTAATGTCCTTTTAATGTTCAGTGTCCCCCTTAATGTCCAGTGTCCCTTTAGTGTCCAGTGTCCCCCTTAATGTCCTTTTAATGTTCAGTGTCCCCCTTTAATGTCCAGTGTCCCTTTATTGTTCAGTGTCCCCCTTAATGTCACTTTAATGTCCAATGTCCCCCTTAATGTCCAGTGTGTCTTTATTGTTCAGTTTGCCTTTAATGTAAATGACACAGACCGTTCACAGGGAGAGAAACCTAAAAAACAAACAAATAAATCAATATTGTCAAGATCATGGAGGATAACGACCACTGATTTTGGGTGAATTTAATACAGTTGTATTTATCACCCGATAACCCGAAACATATAAATATTTTATGAAGTTCAATGTTCGTTCTTTGTCTGTCTTTATTTTCTTTTTCTCTTTTCTCTTATTTTCCTTTTTGTCTCGTTCAATTTTGATTCGTCTTACGTCATCACAATTCCGGACGACAATAAAAGCAAACCATTAAGGAACAAAGTCCGTCATTATTTAAACAGTTCAGTGTTAATTGTTAACTATATAACTATATCTATTACAACCACCCAGCGTATTTCAATAGCAAGATTTGTGTACGATTTGTTTAGATAAACAATTTACTAACTACACAAAATACAGGAACAAATAAATCAATTTCAATAAAGCTCAGTTGTACGTAGCGTTAGACATTTAATCAGACCGTCGTGATTTATCAGGTCACATCGAATATAACTAAAATAATATTTCAAGATGGATAGTATATATAAAACAAGAAGACACGACAGCTACCATTATTACGTATTGTTCTATACCATCGTCATTCATTGTCTTTTGGAACGTGTGGGTAAGTACGTTATAATCAACAAATTAATCTATATATATCTATGTGTTGTTTTATGGAAATGTAGACAATGACAATCACTGTCTGTAAGATTTTAGAATATAAAGTCAATTTATGATTAATTATATCAGACTTTATTTAAAAATTTCCTAACTTACACACCTGTCACAGATTTATAGTATTGTTCTCATTAAGATATAGGAATTTATCACATTTTTGCCAGTAAAATGCAGAAATATATCAATTCGACAAAAGTATATGATTACCGCAGTAATAATGATATATACTCAACAAAAAAAAAGAAAGGTTAACATGTTTCCTTGGCGAATACCTGTAAATGAGTGAAAACAAAATGACGTTTGTGCAATATTAGAAAATGGTAATGTTTTACATTACAAAATCCAAGAGGGTTACCAAAATCATTCAAACGTGAAAGTCTGTATTAGCGAAAGAGCTGCACGAGGTTTTCTGCGACTAACTTGTATCTTAGCTTGAATTTCATGAACATTCAAATTGACAACTGTTCCTTAGATCCTTAGGACTTAGAAATCACCTACCAATTGGAAGCGCGGCGTCCCTACACTGGACCCAATTTGTTGCGACGTCACCGTAATAATCGGCGTAACTGGACCCGTGTTCACCGTCGTTGGGCTTTACGACAATGGAACAATGTTCTGTTTTCAGATGAGTCCAGGTTTTGTCTGCAACACGGTGACGGAAGGCGAGTGTGGAGGCGACGAGGGGAGCGTTTTGCGAACTGTTGCTGCGGCGGAAGTGTAATGGTTTGGGGTGGTATTTGTAGGGGGACTCGTACCAGACTTGTGTTAAATGGCAATTTAACCGGCATTCGATATCGGGACGAAATTTTAAGACCAGTGGTTCTGCCATTCTTAAGACGCCATGGCGTTGGCGCCATTTTTCAACAGGATAACGCACCAGCGCACACCAGTCGCGTCAAGAGAACTTTCTTGCAGCAGAATAACGTACAGGTGTTAGATTGGCCATCTAAATCACCTGATTTGTCACCGATTGAGCATGTCTGGGACGTTCTTGGGCGACGCGTGAGAGAACGTCAAAATCAGCCGACAAATTTGCAGGAGCTGGCCCAAGCCTTGATCGCTGAATGGAACAACATCTCTCCTCGAATTATCCGCCGGTTTACGAGTTCCATGCGACGACGCTGCAATGCTGTTTACTTCGCAAATGGTGGCCATACCCGTTACTAATGGTGTTACCTTTGAAATTGACCCCAACGTCCTTTACAGTCGAATAAAATCAACTGAACGCAAAGTTTTATAATGAACCATGACTGCAGTTTTATCAGAATTGATCAATTACTTTATTCGTACATGATTGGTAAGGATTTATGAAGGGGTTAATTAATTAATCACAGAATAAAGTAGTGTTACCTTTCTTTTTTTGTTTAGTATATATAACTATTTGAACAGTTTTGACCGAACAGAGTCGTGTTTTCTATTCACTGCGGCGAAACTCGCCGATTTCCCTTTACACAAACAAGTGAATTATGTTGAATAAGTTGGTGTTTCATCAAATCATCCCCGTGTACATTACTAGCTTTCTAAGATCTTGTATATACACAGTTTAGTAGGCGATATCTTAAAATAACAAAAACAACGTAAAGCATCCTAGTCAAAATGACGTCATCTTGTTCGTAAGCGCAACGTCCTACTAACTGATGTCAAAAACCGTGCTTATATTTCCCGAACTTTTTTATGTCCTTTAATTTGTCTTCATTAATTTTCCTTTTAAAACGTAATAGACACTATCTAATGGTTTCCCGTTAAATGTCACTTCAGCAAGTTTGTTTGTTGTTGTTTTTATGGTTTTTTCAAATAGATTCATTATTAAATTGACTTTGGTAATTTCAAAAATCTTTTTTACAGATAGTGGATGCACGCCGGGACCAAGCGATGTCACACTTTACATCTCAACACTTCCTGGTACAACAGGTAAGTTTCATGTTTCATCAGTAGTAATTCTAATCCTCCCAATTCTCGATGTCTTCCTAGTATGTATTATGCCGCCTCTGTATTCATGTCTTATACATTTTTTTCTTCAGAAATCAGATTTTGTCAGAGTTAAGTCATAGGTCACGTGACATGTGATGCTTGTTGACCTGTCTGCCACACAACACACGTTATACATATTGAATCCATGAATTTACTTCGGATCATCTAATGTCTGTGTAACCTGATTTAGCTATAACTATGATATAAAATATCCAATCACCTCGATTTAGATACAGGTATTAATGCTATTTATGATTCTAGCTAAAAATGAACACAATGAGAAGTCAAATTTCTGCTCAGATCATTTCAGCTAAGGAAGATAATGACCACATATTTCATTCTGGTTCAACTTTCCCTAGTGTGTTGATTGCTACTCCTATTTTGAGATGTTTAACCATTGGACAAATCCTGTTTACTGTTTGGCAAATGTTGGATCACCTTGTTTACTCTTGAGAGATGGTTTACTGTTCAGTAAATTCTGGCTAACAATGTTTACTCTTGAGAAATGGTTTACTGTTCAGTAAATCCTGGCTAACAATGTTTACTCTTGAGAAATGATTTACTGTTCAGCAAATCCTGTCACACAATGTTTACTCTTGAGAGATGGTTTACAGTTCAGCAAATCCTGTCACACAATGTTTACTCTTGAGAGATGGTTTACTGTTTAACAAATCCTGTCACACAATGTTTACTCTTGAGAGATGGTTTACAGTTCAGCAAATCCTGGCTGACAATGTTTACTCTTGAGAGATGGTTAACCATTGGACAAATCCTGTTTACTCAATGTTTACTCTTGAGAGATGGTTTACAGTTCAGCAAATCCTGGCTAACAATGTTTACTCTTGAGAAATGGTTTACTGTTCAGTAAATTCTGGCTAACAGTGTTTACTCTTGAGAGATGGTTTACAGTTCAGCAAATCCTCGCTCACAATGTTAACTGCCGCTCCTGGCTTGCAGTGTTACTATTTATATATTTTTATTAATGCTCATTTATTTCTGGATCATAAAATTCAATATTAAGAAATTTTCTTATCATTTATCCTGGTTCACAATATTTACTCTGTTGAGTTGTTCCTACTGCTCAGGTGATCCTGGCTAAAACTGTTTGCTAGAGAGACAACGATGTAGTAGTCCCGAATTCCAATCCCATAAAGATAATGTTTTTGTTGATGCAGTGTTCGGTACAGTACCACGTGACGCTGTCTGATTATTACTTCCGGTTACAGGAGAACAAGTGATCGTGACAGACCCTGCTGCTGATGCTGGATGTTGTGGCTTTCTAAAGCGTGCCACATTTTACCCACGGGATACTGGTTATATCCAGTTTCAGCTGTGGCGTCCTTTGACCCTCAACGAGTACATGTTGATTTCAGAGTACCGCTATTATGTGCCTTCAAGTAAGTTAAATAAAAGAGAAAAAGCAATTGATATATGTCCAATGATTACTTTGGTATTATAAAACCATGTACGTTCAAACAGCAGAATTTTCGTTGTTTAAAAAAAAGAAAAAAAGGCTTTTTTTGTGGACGGTTGATTTTGTACAAAAATGTAAAAAAAATGATTTTACAATATTTGTAAACGCGAACATCATACACTACAAGTGTGAAATCAAAAGGGCATTCACTTAGGCAATGTCAAAGTTTCTAGTGTCTGATATTTTCTTTGTTGAAAAAACAGTTTTGTAGAAATGGACAAAGCTGTCCCACAGTATCACAAAGTCAGACGTTTTTCCGTTTTGTTTGTTTCTACAGCGGTCATTGTTTAAGAATAAGTACAAGTTGCGTTAGTTCTGTCCTTACTTCAGCTGGAATAGACCTTAGTTCACTGTTTCCCTATCATCGGAGCCAATTAGGCAACTGGGAAACCGTTTAATCAAGTTGTCTGATTTCACATTCCAGCGTTCAATTCAAATGTCTTCTTCACAATGAAAATGTGACATTTCATGTTTTTTTGTTTTTTTTTTAAAGAGGACACGACCTTGACCCTAACATTCCCTATAGATATTTACGTAGAAAATGGAGATTGCCTTGGCTGGTAAGTCCGCTGTATCTGTCTTCATGTGTCAAGTGTTTATGGTTCTGTTGAAACCCCTGTTTGTTTTGCTGGTAAACTTCTATAATAATTCTCATCATTCGTTTCGTTTGTCAAAATGTTTTTTCATGAGTGTTGCATTATTTTTTACATGTAAATGATGCACCGATTTTAAGTAAATAACAGTTTCAAATAATTATTTACAACAGGTTCTCAGAAAGTAGTGACGTCAATCAAACAAATCCAATTATATCGTCATTGTTAAAAACAGGTACACAGAAAGTGATGTCGTCACTCAAATAATTCCCATTACTTTTCCATTGTTAACAATAGGTACACAGAAAGTAGTGACGTCAATCAAACAATTCCAATTATATCGTCATTGTTAACAACAGGCACACGGGAAGTGATGTCGTCACTCAAGTAACTCCTATTACTTTTTAACAACAGGTACACAGAAAATACCGGAATCATACCATACAGCAGTGGTTCCTATGACAACAACATCGTGATCTCAATTGGTGACGTAGCTGTGGGATACAATTATTCCCTATCGACCCCACACGTCAACAACAGAATATATGCCATTGAGTTTACCATTACCGACGGTAGGTTACTTCGGAATTATCGAAAGCTATACCATCGATCGGTAACGACACACCCCCTTCGTTACTAAAAATATCTACCCGTTTTGGAGGGGGGAGGGGGGGGGGGTCGGATCAGCAGATCTCTCCTTTATACTTTACACCCTAAAAGTAGAACTTGGTTGGCGGGCTTTTATGTGATTGTTACGCCTTTCTTTCCTTGTTTTAAAAATGTACAGTTAAGAATAGACATTATGACATTTATTGAATAATACAGTTAGCCCACTTCTCCATCTACAGTTGATATTCATCTCTACCATTCCTGGCCAACTGGCCGACTTGTTTTTGTTTTCATACGAGGCTATTTGAAGAGTTTATCAAAACGAGCCACAAAGACCTTATAATGGCGTTACTTTCACCTTCAGATATATTGATCACGTTTTGTCTTTAAATAACAAGAAACTCATTGACTATCGTACATATTCATCAGAATTGGAAATAAAAAAACTACTTTTCTACATCAGCTGCTTATCTCGATCGTTTCCTACAACGAAACCAATATGGACAACTTTCCATCAAGCTGTATGATAAACGTGACGATTTCAATTTCCCTAGTGTGAATTTTTTCATTTCTGAATAGCAATATTGCTGCATCTCCTACCTATGGTATTTATATTTCAAAGGTGTTCGATATTCAAGGGCCATGTCGTCAACTGACTGACAAACTTGTAACACAAGGGTTCAACAGATGCAGGTTGATGTAAATTATGGGCACGTTTCATGGTCGCCATAGTGATTTCATGCAGAAATATTTTTCAGAAATTGATGTTCGATAGTTTACTTGTTGGTTCCGTTGTTTTATACCTTGTTCTTATTTGAGAGCGTGACATTACTTACTTGTATTGACTAAAGTTTGCATGGCGGATGTCGTCGATGAAGCAGAAGACGCTTACTATTTAGGAACATCTGGTCTTATTCTCCTTGTACGTTTTCAGGAGTCTCCGTGTAAATCTTTCTTTTGTTTATAGTTTACCCTAGTTTAATGGAATATAGTTAGAATCATGACTGTGTTGCCATGCTGGTATCAACTTAATGTTTTTTCCTCAGTCGCCTCCTAGACTTTAAAACTTGATGTTCAGATCTTTACTGACGAGTCCTTGCAGGACGATACAGCTGTGTGATTATCCAGATTTATTGATTCACATTTTGAATTTGTATTTAAAGGTGGTATTCCCTTCCACAGGGATAATATCAATTCTAATATACACTTTTTATTATGAATTGTTTTTGCCATGAAAGTCGAATTTATCTATATATATATTACAATCGGATTCCTGCAGGGAGTAAACCGGACTTCACGAATCTTCCCGCCACGGTAGATGTGTATGATGACAGCCCGTCAGGCGTGACGTTGTACACAACTTCCGTCACTGATGCTGACGTCGAGGACATACCTACTCTGTATATGACTTTTCAGAGTGTCAGCCCCTCCACTGCTAATATTGCGTTTGATACAACAACTGGTGAGCTTTCAGCTTTGTTAGACAAACTACTGATTCAGTAAAAATATTTCTCTTTTCCATAAGTTAATCAGAAGAAAACATTTATCTCAAATATTTAAGATATGAAGCTTGAAATTCCATCAAGGTATGGACAGTTCGCAATCTTTTATTTTCATTCTAATAATGATAAAACTATTTCTACGCTGAAGTTTTAATAACATGGACGACATGTATATATTCTACACGGCAGTACTACTCAGTATCCTGCAAGTAGTACTTGTCATTGTCAAAATACACCTGCCTCATATATTTTGTGCTGTATTCGGCAGTGACGGAAAACGTATGTACTTAAGCACGTGCCTTCATTCGACAGAATTATTTTTCTAATTTACTTAAATATTTTATTTTACAATCATTTACCAAAATTTATTATTTATCATAACCAACAAGTTTCTATACGAAAATTCGTAAAAAGTGTTTTTATTATTCATTAAAGTGTGGCACTGTATTTCGGCATAGAGCTACCATTTTGACATACGTCATCAGGTAAAATTCAATGTAACGTTAACAGTAGATAAACAAAGATTGAATAGACCTAACCAAAAGTTTCGATAGTCTTCGGTAAGTGTTGCAGTATAAATATAATCCTTAGTCAATGTCTTAAAATGTAAGCTTTATCTTGTTTCGGGACAGAAAACAAAAGTGGCTCGCCAAAAGGACCGCCACTTGTGTCTTTGTTCACTCTCTCAAAAATACAGCTTATAATATAAGACATTGACTGTATATTCTCTGTAAAGTGCCATAGATATATGATATCATAATTAGAACGACGACAAAACACTTTCAAAATGGCTTTCTCAATTCACGGATAACACTTATGAAAATGACTGATAAATCCTAGTTTATATCAAAGTATGATTTGCATCAGACGGTTTCACATGTGAAATGTCTGATACTTATAAAATACAGCGCTTTTCAGACAGTAATGTTATAGTATAGTGATGAAATAATTCAATTATTTCATAGATTTAATCTCAGTCATAATTAAATATTAAAATGGCAAGTCTTGGTGTTTATGATCGTTATAAATGACAGTGCTTTTCACACAAATATGCGTTGAAGTTCAATGAGGAAATGATAAGCTTTCAGATAAGGTTTCAGTCATACTTAAGTATTAAAGTGTCAATTCTTGACGTTTATGATCGCTATAAATGACAGAGCTTTGCATATAAGCATCCATGAAAAAAAGTTTTTATTATCTGTTGGGTATGACCTCAGTCATGTTTTAATGGTCTAGGACTATGTAATCATTACGTGATACTTATGTTTTAGATGTTAGATCTCTTTTTCCTATGATGCATATCACGAACATGGCAGGTGTCCTCGAAGAACCAGAAGACGCTTACTCTTCCCGAACTCTTGGTCTTATTCTCTCTGTGTAAATCTTCCTTTTATTCACATATTACACGAGGTTTAGATTATGTTGATGTTGACATGTCGTGTTTTATTTTTGTTTTATCGTGTATTTTTCACAGGAGAATTTACCACTACAGGGACGTTAAGCTTCGGAACAATCATAGTTAATGTACGGGTAGACGATCGCTGTGGCAGGAGTAACACAAGGGCTCTCACAATTAATGTTCTCAACCATGTAAGATCAATGTTTTGACTTGTTCGTTCAAAACAAATCCTAAACATAGAACATGATTAGACTGGTCCTAGAAGGACGACACAATTGTGTGTTGCAATTTAAATAATCATTTAGCTCTACTGTATCCAGTTGTAAATTTGCATGAACTTGTTATTCGCATTTTGTACAATCTTAGTGGGAAGGGTCATAATTCAGATGAACGGTATACTAATATTTCACAATTGCCTTTTTTAGTTTGCTATCAGGATCAGTAATATAATTGATACTGGTTCATTTTAACCAGGTGTAGTTGTCTAAAAAAAAAAAAAAAAAACCTGATGCTAATGTTTACGGTTTTTGCGTTATTTCGTGTTTGTCATGTTAAGAAAGAATAGAAAGAAGATCCGCAAACATTTCGTTGTTTGTCGACCTAAAGGCTACCATCAACAAAATTGAATCTTAAGTTTTTTTCATTGTTGTGATCTTGAAAAATGATACACAAATACATTATTTTCGTTTTTTTTTTGGCTTAAAAGAAAATATCTTAAATGTATTTCCAGATGGTATCTGTGAAATGATAACACCCTGTTGGTGTCATTCATTTTGAAATCACATATCAATGACGACATTTTCGTGAGAGAGAGCAGTATATGTAAATGCTCCGGATAAAACCAAATCAATGCTAATTTTAGATATAGATCAATAGATAGCTACGAAGGTTTATTTTTCTCCGATAACCGGACGACAATTTGGAAACAGCGATATGTTCTGACAAAATGGTTGTTTACGATAGAAGGCTTGGAAATAGTTTAACTTAATGGAGAATATAAATTTATCTTCTTAGACAATAACCGGAAGTTGTCGGTTTTGAATCCATCAGCAAATCTATACAATTATAACTATTTATTTATAAACTTTATGCTTATCATCAATGTGTTGTACATTATCCGAAAGTGTGTTTTTGTCCGGAATGTCGTGAATGCTACTGCAACGACATATTCTAGACTGAAAATATTTTTCTTTAAAAAAATCCGAAAAAAATATCAACATAAAATATCAAACATTTAAAGAAAATATTTACCAAACAAATTAATAGATTATGGCTTATTGTTGTGCACAGAGATTTCCACTAATCTTTAATGTGAAACAAACTCACAAATGACTACGACAGGAGATACTTAGTTACAGTGAGTTCACTAGTTGTATTAAATGAGTGGACTTTAAACCATAATAGCTACCCTCAAAATATCGTGTTATCGCACATACATGTATATTGGCTATCAAACAATTTTGACTCTGTTCGGACATGGTTTGTTTTAGGCACCAGTGATCGATAATTTACCTGCATCAGGTGACCTTTCCGAGGTGGTTACCTTAGAAACATTTCTATATCACGTGACTGTTTCGGATGCTTCCGGTGACCCTGTGACATGTACACTGAACGACACGTCTCCATCAGGTGCTCCGTTTCTTCTCAAATATATATCCGGGACGAGTTGTAAGTATAATCGATTATGTCCTGAACAAGGATGTATCAGGCATTACCTCGTGACGCGAGGCTTCATTCTTGTAATATATATTTAACGAGGTTTGGAGTTTTACTGAACCTTTGTTGACGAGTTTTATCTAATATAAGATTATATTAATCACTTTATTTCCTATAGACTTTCACTAACTTGATGCAAATGATATTTTCCAAAACATAAATATGTCTTTATTGACGATGTCTGCACGCTGTATGCGTTTTCAATGCGACGTCTAAGTGCGTGAAATGATATCATCAAACTGACGTCACAATAGAAATTAAAAAAAAAAAAAAAACTCAAGCCAATAACGTTTAAACACATCATTACATGTCTTTTGTGTGTTTAAACACCAGTCACGTTGTGAACACTTTAACATAACATTTACACGTCTTTTGTGTGCTTATGTACCCAGTCACCTTATAAACGATTTAACATAACATTTACATTGTTTGTGAACTGAAGCTTACGGGATATACCCCCAGTCACTTTGTAAACACTTTAACATAACATTAACATTATTTGTGTGTGTTTATATACCCAGTCACGTTGTAAACACTTTAACATAATATTTACACGTCTTTTGTGTGCTTATACCCCCAGTCACTTCGTAAACACTTTAACATAACATTTACATTGTTTGTGTGTGTTTAAATACCCAGTCACGTTGTAAACACTTTAACATAACATTTACATTGTTTGTGTGTGTTTAAATACCCAGTCACGTTGTAAACACTTTAACATAACATTTACATTATTTGTGTGTGTTTATACATCCAGTCACTTCGTAAACACTTTAACATAACATTTACATTATTTGTGTGTGTTTATACATCCAGTCACGTTGTAAACACTTTAACATAAGATTTACATTGTTTGTGTGTGTTTATACATCCAGTCACGTTGTAAACACTTTAACATAACATTTACATTGTTTGTGTGTGTTTATACATCCAGTCACGTTGTAAACACTTTAACATAATATTTACATTGTTTGTGTGTGTTTATATACCCAGTCACTTTGTAAACACTTAAACATAACATTTACATTATTTGTGTGTGTTTATATACCCAGTCACGTTGTAAACACTTTAACATAAGATTTACATTGTTTGTGTGTGTTTATACATCCAGTCACGTTGTAAACACTTTAACATAACATTTACATTGTTTGTGTGTGTTTATACCCCCAGTCACTTCGTAAACACTTTAACATAACATTTACATTGTTTGTGAACTGAAGCTTACGGGATATACCCCCAGTCACTTCGTAAACACTTTAACATAATATTTACATTGTTTGTGTGTGTTTATATACCCAGTCACTTTGTAAACACTTTAACATAACATTTACATTGTTTGTGTGTGTTTATACATCCAGTCACTTCGTAAACACTTTAACATAACATTTACATTGTTTGTGTGTGTTTATATACCCAGTCACTTCGTAAACACTTTAACATAACATTTACATTATTTGTGTGTGTTTATACATCCAGTCACGTTGTAAACACTTTAACATAACATTTACATTATTTGTGTGTGTTTATACATCCAGTCACGTTGTAAACACTTTAACATAACATTTACATTATTTGTGTGTGTTTATACATCCAGTCACGTTGTAAACACTTTAACATAACATTTACATTGTTTGTGTGTGTTTATACATCCAGTCACTTCGTAAACACTTTAACATAAGATTTACATTGTTTGTGTGTGTTTATACATCCAGTCACTTCGTAAACACTTTAACATAAGATTTACATTGTTTGTGTGTGTTTATACATCCAGTCACTTCGTAAACACTTTAACATAACATTTACATTATTTGTGTGTGTTTATACATCCAGTCACGTTGTAAACACTTTAACATAACATTTACATTGTTTGTGAACTGAAGCCTACGGTATATACCCCCAGTCACTTTGTAAACACTTTAACATAACATTTACATTATTTGTGTGTGTTTATACCCCCAGTCACTTCGTAAACACTTTAACATAACATTTACATTGTTTGTGTGTGTTTATACATCCAGTCACTTCGAAAACACTTTAACATAACATTTACATTATTTGTGTGTGTTTATACATCCAGTCCAGTAAACACTTTAACATAACATTTACATTGTTTGTGTGTGTTTATATACCCAGTCACTTCGTAAACACTTTAACATAACATTTACATTATTTGTGTGTGTTTATACATCCAGTCACTTCGTAAACACTTTAACATAACATTTACATTATTTGTGTGTGTTTATACATCCAGTCACGTTGTAAACACTTTAACATAACATTTACATTGTTTGTGTGTGTTTATATACCCAGTCACTTCGTAAACACTTTAACATAACATTTACATTGTTTGTGAACTTAAGCCTACGGTATATACAGTCAGTCATCACCTAACTTAGACTTTAACACCAATTCCCTGTACACCCTTACAATACACTGCACTGATGGTATGGGGACGGATTCCGAGACCTTCACCGTCCACGTGACTGAAAACAGCCCCGCCGTCTTCTCAAATTTACCAGGTATGATTAGCGTTCTTAATTTCATTCGACCATGTGTCTCCATACAGGAAAATAATAAAACCATAGAATAAATAGATTAAATAACATATTGAGGTACAACTGCCTCTAATACGTGATCCGAGGCTTTCTCGATTACAACACTGACGACAAAGGCTAGTAGTCTCATGTGTTTTATGGAAACTTTTATGACCGCTGATAGAAAAAAAAGTATGACAAAAGTTACATAAACATTGTTCTGTAGACTGAATTCAACTGAGATAGTTGGAAAATATTACCTGTTTGTGTCTACATTTTAGAAAATTTCATTTCATACCCCATATTATAAATCAGTGTAATAAATATTTTATATCTGTTTTAAACACAAATAACTAAAAAAAATAGTTATGTACATAAGTTAGGATTCTCGCGTTGGTGATTTTATATGACACGTGTTTTCGAGACATTTGGAATTGTATTTGGCAATTATATTTTTCAATGTTCTATTGTATCTAAATCTAAACCTGTATTTATGTTATAGCCGATGTCTGCATCATTTCGTATCGTTTCAATCTGTTTCAGCCAATGTTACCCTTCCCCTGACAACGCCTTTAGGCACGATAGTATACACTGTTGAGGCGACAGACCCTGAAGGAAACAGTCTAATATATTATACCTATGGCTGTAGTAGATGTTGGTTCCAAATGGCTAGTTGTAAGTGTAGTGATTTATAGAATATTTTTCACTGCCTTGTTATTGGGATAAAATTATGTCTACTTTTGTCTCTCTGTCCAAAGCCAAAATGTAGCAGATATTTCTGACACTGGCCCTGTAATCTATTTATCCCGCATCATTGATTGAACATCCACAATATTGAAACTTAATCAGTTTGTTGTTAAAAAGGTCTATATATTTACCTGACGTTGAGGTCACGCCCATTAAGGACAAATGACATAATCGAAATGTTGCGGATGGAAGTAGGGATCCAAACGTCAATTTACATAACTGCATTTTTTTTTTTTTTTTTGTTGATTTTTTATTCCAACAAACTAAATGAACCCAATCAGTCACTGAGATATTTTTTTTATATTTGTAAATGAACTAGAATGAACGTCCAGCGAGATAATGCAAATGCTATATAACACAGTTGTTTTCCATCATTGCCGAAATACAACAAAATTATAATTATGTGGCAGGTGTATTCTGCAAATTTTAGCGCCAGTTTCAGGAAAGGTATATATACAATACCCTGACCTTTAATAGGTTTATAGATTTATTTCAACCAATCATTTTTAACAGCAGGAGAAGTAATTGTAGATGAATCTCTACTCACCAAAACGTCTGCTACTTACAACGTGAACATTAGAGTCAGTGATGGCTTGATCGACTCCTCATCGTCCACCCTCACATTTATATTCACTGGTAAGTTTTCTTATCAAAATTCCAAACCCAAACGTTAATACACAGTTCCTTGTTAATCGAAATTCAGATTATATTAAGTTTGCAAATACGTAGATATTTAAAACATACAAAGAAATTGAAACCAAACTCTTGAAGGGAAGGAGGTTAGATGGAGGGATATTATAATTTCAAAATTTAGGGGTTTTTGTTTGTTTTGTTTTTGTTTTTTTTTTCTTTGGACGATATGATAAACATTTTTAAAGTACTGTCCAGCTCAAACTCAGTATTGTTTTGTTTGAGAGGACCTCAAATTGTAGACCTGAATCAACACTCAGATATTCACAAAAATCAATTCATCAACAGAAAGGAAAACGCTACTTGTAGAACGATGGAGAAGATTATTGTAAATGTACTGTAGCTCCAGTTAGGCACCCCGGAAATACAAGTGTTTCCTGCTCCACTTCAGGGTTACTTTATAATATCTGATGTAACTTAAAGCTCAAAAATGATGCAGACTTATAACTCAAAATCTTCATATATAAGATTTCGGTTGTTTTTTTTTTTTTTTTTTAATTCCGTCATTTTTCTTTTTCATGAATTAATTATTCACAGCGGTTTTATTTCTCACCAAAAAAGTAATCAATATATGATCTTATTTGAATATTGAGAAGTGTGCATTCAATACTTCAGACCCAGATTAATCCGAGTTTTAGTCGCATTCTTTACTAACGATCTCTGTACCTTGTTCGCCGTTACATGGTAGCTTCCGGTACAATATGATGAAGTATTTTGTGAGTGGAGTTTGCAAAAATAGGCTTCTATTCGTGCATAATATAAACTACTGGTTTTTATCACATCGTCATTTTGAACTTTCATTTATTGAATGGAATATTGAAGGATTAAACAGCCAACCCACACTTGACAATCTCCCGCGGACATTAAATATCCCAGAATCCCTACCGATAGGAGCGGAAGTGTTTACTTTAGTGATGACGGACCCTGACGTCACAGATACCCACTCTTACATATTCTCATACAATCCAGCATCAGCAACTTCAGCGTTTGCCTTTGATACTTCGTGTAAGTTGGTTCTTTAAGTCAATAACTGTTGATTATCAATTCAAGAAAATAATATTTAATCATTCTGATGTTTTAATTTGTCTTAAATTTTTCAAATACAACATATGCTAATTTATTAAGTAGAATCATTAAAGATGAACTATGATATTTTCACAATGCTCCTGAAATCCTTTCATTTTTTAATCAATTAATGAGTTGAATATGTCCTGTCGAAAACCAAATTCCCCGAGGGGACGTGGAGTTCGTGCCTGTATCGTTAGCATGATATTTTATGGTTTTTATTTGTCTGGAATTTTGATTATATATATTGTGATACCGTCACTTTCAAGGACCTTCGAAACAAAACCTTCTTATTCAAGAAAAAGGTCAGAAATCGGAAAAATAAGATAATATATTGTATACTAATACCATGGCACTGATGCCGTAATAGGAGTCATTGGAGGTAAAAACAATCATACGGTAACGCCTCATTGAGGAAATGGCGTCACTACGTGTTTGTCATAAAATAACGATTCTTTGTTCCAGCACGTCAACTTACAGTCGCCTCAATCCTTAATTACGAATCCGGGGTCACCCAGTACACAATCAGTTTTACAGTGGACGATGGACATCTGTCGGATGGACCAGAAGACCTTATCATCAATATTCTTGACGTAAATGATGCCCCTGTCTTCCAGAAGTCCATCTACACTGTAACAGAGTATGAAAGAGGTGTAAGTAATTTGTTACACTGTAACAGAGTATGAAAGAGGTGTAAGTAATTTGTTACACTGTAACAGAGTATGAAAGAGGTGTAAGTAATTAGTTATATTGTTACACTGTAACAGAGTATGAAAGAGGTGTAAGTAATTTGTTACACTGTAACAGAGTATGAAAGAGGTGTAAGTAATTTGTTACACTGTAACAGAGTATGAAAGAGGTGTAAGTAATTTGTTACACTGTAACAGAGTATGAAAGAGGTGTATGTAATTTGTTACACTGTAACAGAGTATGAAAGAGGTGTAAGTAATTTGTTATATTGTTACACTGTAACAGAGTATGAAAGAGGTGTAAGTAATTTGTTACACTGTAACAGAGTATGAAAGAGGTGTAAGTAATTACATATATTGTTACACTGTAACAGAGTATGAAAGAGGTGTAAGTAATTTGTTATATTGTTACACTGTAACAGAGTATGAAAGAGGTGTAAGTAATTTGTTATATTGTTACACTGTAACAGAGTATGAAAGAGGTGTAAGTAATTTGTTATATTGTTACACTGTAACAGAGTATGAAAGAGGTGTAAGTAATTTGTTATATTGTTACACTGTAACAGAGTATGAAAGAGGTGTAAGTAATTTGTTACACTGTAACAGAGTATGAAGAGGTGTAAGTAATTTGTTACACTGTAACAGAGTATGAAAGAGGTGTAATTAATTTGTTATATTGTTACACTGTAACAGAGTATGAAAGAGGTGTAAGTAATTTGTTATATTGTTACACTGTAACAGAGTATGAAAGAGGTGTAAGTAATTTGTTACACTGTAACAGAGTATGAAAGAGGTGTAAGTAATTTGTTACACTGTAACAGAGTATGAAAGAGGTGTAAGTAATTACATATATTGTTACACTGTAACAGAGTATGAAAGAGGTGTAAGTAATTTGTTATATTGTTACACTGTAACAGAGTATGAAAGAGGTGTAAGTAATTTGTTATATTGTTACACTGTAACAGAGTATGAAAGAGGTGTAAGTAATTTGTTATATTGTTACACTGTAACAGAGTATGAAAGAGGTGTAAGTAATTTGTTATATTGTTACACTGTAACAGAGTATGAAAGAGGTGTAAGTAATTTGTTACACTGTAACAGAGTATGAAAGAGGTGTAAGTAATTTGTTACACTGTAACAGAGTATGAAAGAGGTGTAATTAATTTGTTATATTGTTACACTGTAACAGAGTATGAAAGAGGTGTAAGTAATTTGTTATATTGTTACACTGTAACAGAGTATGAAAGAGGTGTAAGTAATTTGTTACACTGTAACAGAGTATGAAAGAGGTGTAAGTAATTTGTTACACTGTAACAGAGTATGAAAGAGGTGTAAGTAATATGTTACACTGTAACAGAGTATGAAAGAGGTGTAAGTAATATGTTACACTGTAACAGAGTATGAAAGAGGTGTAAGTAATTTGTTATATTGTTACACTGTAACAGAGTATGAAAGAGGTGTAAGTAATTTGTTATATTGTTACACTGTAACAGAGTATGAAAGAGGTGTAAGTAATATGTTACACTGTAACAGAGTATGAAAGAGGTGTAAGTAATATGTTACACTGTAACAGAGTATGAAAGAGGTGTAAGTAATTTGTTACACTGTAACAGAGTATGAAAGAGGTGTAAGTAATTTGTTACACTGTAACAGAGTATGAAAGAGGTGTAAGTAATTTGTTACACTGTAACAGAGTATGAAAGAGGTGTAAGTAATTAGTTATTTGTTACACTGTAACAGAGTATGAAAGAGGTGTAAGTAATTTGTTACACTGTAACAGAGTATGAAAGAGGTGTAAGTAATTAGTTATATTGTTACACTGTAACAGAGTATGAAAGAGGTGTAAGTAATTTGTTACACTGTAACAGAGTATGAAAGAGGTGTAAGTAATTTGTTACACTGTAACAGAGTATGAAAGAGGTGTAAGTAATTTGTTACACTGTAACAGAGTATGAAAGAGGAGTAAGTAATTTGTTATATTGTTACACTGTAACAGAGTATGAAAGAGGTGTAAGTAATTTGTTACACTGTAACAGAGTATGAAAGAGGTGTAAGTAATTTGTTATATTGTTACACTGTTACAGAGTATGAAAGAGGTGTAAGTAATTTGTTACACTATAACAGAGTATGAAAGAGGTGTAAGTAATTTGTTACACTGTAACAGAGTATGAAAGAGGTGTAAGTAATTTGTTACACTGTAACAGAGTATGAAAGAGGTGTAAGTAATTTGTTATACTGTTACACTGTAACAGAGTATGAAAGAGGTGTAAGTAATTAGTTATATTGTTACACTGTAACAGAGTATGAAAGAGGTGTAAGTAATTTGTTACACTGTAACAGAGTATGAAAGAGGTGTAAGTAATTTGTTACACTGTAACAGAGTATGAAAGAGGTGTAAGTAATTTGTTACACTGTAACAGAGTATGAAAGAGGTGTAAGTAATTTGTTATATTGTTACACTGTAACAGAGTATGAAAGAGGTGTAAGTAATTTGTTATACTGTTACACTGTAACAGAGTATGAAAGAGGTGTAAGTAATTTGTTATATTGTTACACTGTAACAGAGTATGAAAGAGGTGTAAGTAATTTGTTATATTGTTACACTGTAACAGAGTATGAAAGAGGTGTAAGTAATTTGTTACACTGTAACAGAGTATGAAAGAGGTGTAAGTAATTTGTTATATTGTTACACTGTAACAGAGTATGAAAGAGGTGTAAGTAATTTGTTACACTGTAACAGAGTATGAAAGAGGTGTAAGTAATTGTTATATTGTTACACTGTAACAGAGTATGAAAGAGGTGTAAGTAATTTGTTACACTGTAACAGAGTATGAAAGAGGTGTAAGTAATATGTTACACTGTAACAGAGTATGAAAGAGGTGTAAGTAATTTGTTATATTGTTACACTGTAACAGAGTATGAAAGAGGTGTAAGTAATTAGTTATATTGTTACACTGTAACAGAGTATGAAAGAGGTGTAAGTAATTTGTTACACTGTAACAGAGTATGAAAGAGGTGTAAGTAATTTGTTATATTGTTACACTGTAACAGAGTATGAAAGAGGTGTAAGTAATTTGTTACACTGTAACAGAGTATGAAAGAGGTGTAAGTAATTTGTTACACTGTAACAGAGTATGAAAGAGGTGTAAGTAATTTGTTACACTGTAACAGAGTATGAAAGAGGTGTAAGTAATTAGTTATATTGTTACACTGTAACAGAGTATGAAAGAGGTGTAAGTAATTTGTTACACTGTAACAGAGTATGAAAGAGGTGTAAGTAATTAGTTATATTGTTACACTGTAACAGAGTATGAAAGAGGTGTAAGTAATTTGTTACACTGTAACAGAGTATGAAAGAGGTGTAAGTAATTTGTTACACTGTAACAGAGTATGAAAGAGGTGTAAGTAATTTGTTACACTGTAACAGAGTATGAAAGAGGTGTAAGTAATTTGTTATATTGTTACACTGTAACAGAGTATGAAAGAGGTGTAAGTAATTTGTTACACTGTAACAGAGTATGAAAGAGGTGTAAGTAATTTGTTATATTGTTACACTGTAACAGAGTATGAAAGAGGTGTAAGTAATTTGTTACACTGTAACAGAGTATGAAAGAGGTGTAAGTAATTTGTTATATTGTTACACTGTAACAGAGTATGAAAGAGGTGTAAGTAATTTGTTACACTGTAACAGAGTATGAAAGAGGTGTAAGTAATTTGTTATATTGTTACACTGTAACAGAGTATGAAAGAGGTGTAAGTAATTTGTTATATTGTTACACTGTAACAGAGTATGAAAGAGGTGTAAGTAATTTGTTACACTGTAACAGAGTATGAAAGAGGTGTAAGTAATTAGTTATATTGTTACACTGTAACAGAGTATGAAAGAGGTATAAGTAATTTGTTACACTGTAACAGAGTATGAAAGAGGTGTAATTTGTTATATTGTTACACTGTAACAGAGTATGAAAGAGGTGTAAGTAATTTGTTACACTGTAACAGAGTATTGTTATTTGTTACACTGTAACAGAGTATGAAAGAGGTGTAAGTAATTTGTTACACTGTAACAGAGTATGAAAGAGGTGTAAGTAATTTGTTATATTGTTACACTGTAACAGAGTATGAAAGAGGTGTAAGTAATTTGTTATATTGTTACACTGTAACAGAGTATGAAAGAGGTGTAAGTAATTTGTTACACTGTAACAGAGTATGAAAGAGGTGTAAGTAATTAGTTACACTGTAACAGTGTATGAAAGAGGTGTAAGTAATTTGTTATATTGTTACACTGTAACAGAGTATGAAAGAGGTGTAAGTAATTTGTTACACTGTAACAGAGTATGAAAGAGGTGTAAGTAATTTGTTATATTGTTACACTGTAACAGAGTATGAAAGAGGTGTAAGTAATTAGTTATATTGTTACACTGTAACAGAGTATGAAAGAGGTGTAAGTAATTTGTTATATTGTTACACTGTAACAGAGTATGAAAGAGGTGTAAGTAATTACTTATATTGTTACACTGTAACAGAGTATGAAAGAGGTGTAAGTAGTTATATGTTACACTGTAACAGAGTATGAAAGAGGTGTAAGTAATTTGTTACACTATAACAGAGAATGAAAGAGGTGTAAGTAATTTGTTATATTGTTACACTGTAACAGAGTATGAAAGAGGTGTAAGTAATTTGTTACACTGTAACAGAGTATGAAAGAGGTGTAAGTAATTAGTTATATTGTTACACTGTAACAGAGTATGAAAGAGGTGTAAGTAATTTGTTATATTGTTACACTGTAACAGAGTATGAAAGAGGTGTAAGTAATTACTTATATTGTTACACTGTAACAGAGTATGAAAGAGGTGTAAGTAATTTGTTACACTGTAACAGAGTATGAAAGAGGTGTAAGTAATTTGTTACACTGTAACAGAGTATGAAAGAGGTGTAAGTAATTTGTTATATTGTTACACTGTAACAGAGTATGAAAGAGGTGTAAGTAATTTGTTATATTGTTACACTGTAACAGAGTATGAAAGAGGTGTAAGTAATTTGTTACACTGTAACAGAGTATGAAAGAGGTGTAAGTAATTTGTTATATTGTTACACTGTAACAGAGTATGAAAGAGGTGTAAGTAATTTGTTATATTGTTACACTGTAACAGAGTATGAAAGAGGTGTAAGTAATTTGTTATATTGTTACACTGTAACAGAGCGGAGATTATGTATCCAGATAAAGCGGAGATTATGTATCTACATGAAGCGGAGATTATGTATCCACATGAAGCGGAGATTATGTATCCACATGAAGCGGAGATTATGTATCCACATTAAGCGGAGACTGTGTAGGGTGTTTTGAAATTATAGCACCTTATCCTTACAATAAGCAAACCTTTATGCGTTCCTTTATTTCTGAGAAGAAACAAGCTCAAGAAACTACAAGTCAAAAAAGCCAAAACCTTAATTTTATACAATTGATATTTATTTTTACACCACTTTTAGGTATGAAAGTATACTTCAGTGATACAAACACTGAAGGAAACTTGAAACATAAATAGTTGTTCATAGAAGGCGACACAGTAGACATGTAAATAATCTATAGGGCTTTCATAGTTTGTTTTAGTGAAACTGGTGTTAAAATGTTGATGTTAAAATAAATAGATGCAATAAAACATCCTATACATAATATTTATATCAAACAAGAACATCTGCTGACTTCTTTCGGTAAGAAGCATATAAGATGGTATTCCTGTCTCTAAGTTTATTTCAAACAATCCGCAGAGGTTCAGTAAGTTTGCCTAACCATGTCCGTATGTAATGCTTATTGTTTCAGTGTTTCAGGAATAGACGAAGAACATAATGAAATAGAAGCACATTTATACAGCTCATAAAAATATAATGATTTTTTTCAGATCAATTACGTACTTCCGGATCCCGGCTTTTTAGTGACTGACGACGATCCAGGTGACACAGTTACGTATGCAATTACTTCCGGTAACTCTCTTGGTAGATTCAAAATGAATGCTACAACAGGAATACTTAAATTTATGGTAAGCTATGATATCGACAACAACAATATGCCTGCCTTTGTTGATCTAATTGTCACTGCAACAGACTCGGGTGGATTAACAGCGACCGTGTTACTTGAAGTCACAGTTCTAGACAACAATGACAATTCACCTGTTTGGGAGCAGGATTCTTATGAGACCACCATAATGTCGGATATGGTTGTCGGTTCATCCATTCTTCAGGTTCAAGCCACTGATATAGATGTGGAATACACTAATAATAATATTATTTATACTGTATTCTCGGGATCGACTGAATATTTTGGAATTAAAGACAATGGTGAAATTTACTTGTTAAAAAGTGTATCCATTTACGGAAATTACACGGAACTTGATGTGGTAATTCGTGCCACGAGCCCCGGGAGAACAGCAAATGTTCCGGTCAAGGTCATTATTAACCCGCCTACATATTACAACTTCTTCGATGATACCGGAAACGTTGCCTGGTTTTCTGTGTGCATTGCCATAGGTGTCGTTGCTGTAGCTGTATCGAGTTTCCTGCTGTATCGCTACTTCCGGTATGGATATGTCTGCTCGAAGAAGACAACTGACACCAGGTCAGTGTCCATAGTTTGTTAACCTGATGTTCATATTATTTTTATAACAATTTAATATATGAAACATTTGATATCGTGTTCAAAAAGCATTGTTCTCAGCGATGATGTATAGTCAACATGGCCAATTGATTCAAATCCTACATATTAAACTGCAAAAACAGAACAAATGAAAGCGAGAGCTAATATTCATAAAAAGAAAACGGTGTTCAATATTTGTTAAAAATTAAGCGGAATCTTGCCAACCAAATTTCAGAACTTTTGCGTTCACATGTAAGATCATTGAAACGTTTGCGAAAATTGGATGTTAACATTTAAAAAATTGTACATTACACCTTTCACTGTCATTTAAATTTTGGTTCATCTATTAACATTTCAGCATTGAACACGTGAATCTTGAAAACAATGAATCAAACAAAGGGTAAGTAAAGATCTGTCTATAATAGTATTGTTTAAAGGCTGGAGTAAACCTACTTGTATTCAATTTAATACATATTCTCTTTCCCTAGTGTATTTTCTGTTGCACTGTTGTTGATTCCTATTCTAGTTTGTATATCGTAAGAACTTTATTCTAAGAATGAAATCACATTCACATGTTTATGACATTACAAAGGTGTGACCTTATCAAGGTCAGATTTGTAATACCAGCTTATAAACTGACGACGGAATATTTCATGACATAAAGTTGTGTAAGCAAATTGAGACTGCCTTCCTATATGACTAGATGAAAGCTAAAACAAGATAACGATAAGCATGGAATGGTATTTAATTGGCATTCATAGGCATTATGAATGCCAACAAGATTAGAGAAAGTTCAATGAAATGTGTTAAAAGGCCCATAAATGCTAACAGAAATCAATAAAATGCTTTAAAAATGTAGTATAAAGCAAGAATGAATATGTTGAACAGATCTATATTTGATTGATGTTTCAGTAGGATAACCGTGAAGGAAACAGTCAGTAAAACAGAAGACCTTGTCAAGGGCATTTCACCATCAAATAGTACCGACCAACTCGAGCAAATACCTCGCAATATCACACCAGTCAATGTACCTCCTCGCTACGACAGTCTGGCGATGAATCAAGGAATACGATTGGTGACAAATGACCAACCTGCATAACCCACTGAACAAATGCTTTGTTATCGTCGCTTTTTCCTGTCGTACTTATATATTTGTTTGGGGATTTAGCGCCCTCACTTCTATGTATATATAATTTGTTTCATTGATAGCAAATTAGCTGACTATGGGTTTCCATACTTGTGATAAATTCCTTGGACATTATGAATAATTAAATGCCTTGACACATACTTTTGTCTTTTCAGTGTGTATATTGTCCTACAAATTGGGGAAATAGTATAGGCTATACTTAGCTTAAAAGTAGACCGTGATACAAACATTAAATGTGTTAGTGATGGCACGTGTTTATACACTTCCGGTTACGTTTCTATGCTATTCCGATATTCACAGTTGATCCCCAATGTCCAGTTTGACTACTTCGTTGTTTCGGGAAACACCTCTTCAACGCCAAATATTAACCTATCAGGTTTGAAAGCAGCAGGATGTTACTAGTGATATAATCTGTTTATCGTCACGTGCATTTGTCTACTGATTAAACATTGTACCTGGCAATAAGCATGAATACTATAAAGTATTTCATGAAAGCTAAACAGTTTCCCTGTAGTGTTTTAAAAAGACAAACTTATAGTTTAATGTGTCATATAGCCAATTCGTTTATGTGCGATCATTTAAGGTATTTATTGGCAATAACCCTCTGTGTCTAGAGTGTTTGGAATTATTTCTTATCCTCCGAATGACTTTATAAATATTGGTGTGCGTCATCAGTTTATCTTTCTTTTCGTTCTGTCATATGCACATCAATGAAATATCTCATCATTGATTCTCAATATTGATTTTTGTCGATACCAATCAATTTTTATCTTACTTTTTATCAATGTAAAACTACCTCTACCTTGACGTTCACGCTTCCGGAACACCTGGTCGTATTCTCCTTGATCGTTTTAGAGTCTCCATGTAAATCTTCCCTTCCATATTTTGCTGTAATTTTATTAAATTTGCTTTTGGATAATAGTTATGTTCGCATGTTTTAGATGTTAACTATATCTTGCTATAAAACGTATACTCGTACACACATATCTGTCGATTGGAATTGGAAGGGGGGGGGGGGTGTGAAATGTTTAAAAGACAATTGTAATGAATAATATTTTAGTTTACCTGATAATTCAGATTAGGCCAGAGATCAGTGTCGCCGTATTTGTTATTAGGTCCCAGACACGTGGGATAAGACCACATTCGTTATGTACATTTCACATTTTAGTTCGTTTGTGTTCATTTATGACAACAAAATAATACTTGTAACACGTTCTGCTGTATAATATCAGTTATAGATATAACGTATACATTTTCCTGAATAACGTAATGGATGATAGAGGCAAAATATTGGAAATGATAACAAGTCAGATTCAAGGACCAAAACACACGCAGCCATATTTGAATGGCGCCTCCTGTAAGTAAGTAATATTTTATATTAATATTAATACTGGGTACGTTTCCTCTTATCCTTTATTACTTGTGTTCTGTTTGTCTTTTCCTTCCGATAATAAGACGATTTCGTATTCTTCAGTTTCCTCACTTGGCCATTTTTTCAACAAGCGAACTTTATAAAATGCGAACAGCAAGCAACACATTCCAGCAAACATATAGATGAGCGGGATCAGATGGATTTTTAACCGGAAGTCAACATTATCATATAGTAAGCATGCTCCTTCGGTGTCACAGCTTTTTTGCCATATCAAACAAGTGGAATCGACAACTCTCCCAAAGATAATCGGACTTGGTAAAAACCCTGGAAAAGAGAATTTGGAAACTAAACAACTTGGAAGAATCATTGAAATGAAATTGATGATTATAACATTATACTCAAAAGACGTTAATGGCTAAATTATTCTACAGCTTATACTGAAAAAAATTAATACATATGCCATACTCTTTCTACAGTATATATAATGCAGGTAACTTCGTAGCCCTTAATCCCAGAACGCAACTGACCCAAAGTCATTACTCTGAGTCAGGGTTTGAAAAATTTAACCATGCTCACTCCTGTGACCTTGAATGATGAAAAAGATCATTTATTTGGACAAACTTGGTATCCCTTAATTCCAGTATGCTACAAAACGGATGAGATGGTCATAGGGCTCTTGCGCTTAAGAAGTCATTTTAAGATTTTAAAACATTATGCTGCTGTAGGACCAGCTGTCATGGCCCAGTGCCTCTTTTTTATTGAGAAAGTATTTTTAAGGGAGAAAAAATTGACGATGGACGAACGGCGGGCGCAACCTCACGGCATAAGCTTACTTGTTTTCCTACAGGAAACCTAAGCTTGAAGTGATTGTTGGTGTGCTATCGGCTTTTCCGTGGTTGTAAATGACAAAATTATATGAAAAATGAAGTAATTCTGTGTATGTGTTATCTCTCCTTTATCAATCTTAATTCTCTTGATACCATTATTTATAACATTTTGTTTTAATTGCAGCAGCTCTATAACTTTGATATTCAACTTTGAATACTTCAACAATGATGATTAAATCACGATATGAAATTTCGTGCCAAGGTCCTAAGCACTGTGATCAATATTCTAATTCTATTTATAAATATACACGTGATAACGTATACAAACTTCTATCCATCTACGATGAAAGCCATTTTACTAAGACACCTGTCAAATATACAATTATATTCATTGTAAAACCATGATAAATCTTCCCACCAAACTACAAAATCTGCAATTTAAGGATTTTTTTTCCCTACCAATCAAACACAAAATGATTCCTTCCGCCTCAAGTATCCTTAATAGAGTTTGACCTCTATATACATGACATATGCCGTATTACCAATTTAACTGTCCTACCTACCCAACAAGGACGCAAAAAATGAAGATAATCCTATGGACGTGGATTTATCACGGTCATCCACACATCTGGAATGTAAAACAGAAAAACATTGAAATATTTACCTCATATGCAGTACCGTTATCTTTATAAATATATTTGAATTAACTGTAGGAATACCGACTACTACGCGTGCCTTATCTTGGCTATGATACTCGGTGAAATGGAAAGAGCCACTATAAATCCTGCGGCAAAACTGATAACGGCGAAAGGATACAACATTCCACAGTCCGTTTCACACAGCCCCGCGGAAGCTTTTCCGTCCGGTATACAGGTACAATTGGCAAAGTTCTGAGAAAAGAAAAAATGACACAGTTGCATGGAAATTTCTCCTTCGTCTCACATGGAATTGTGTATTTGATTGAAAAGCAATTTGGTATTTTCGTCAGTTTTGCCTCAACAAAACCCATCCCACTTCTGACAGAATTTTCCAAATCAATTTAAATACCTTCTTAAGCCTTATTGTTAATCATGTCCTCATTTGAGAACGGAACATTAATTTCGTTAATATTCTCATGAAATATGTTATTGATGAAACGGAAAATTATATAATATTACTTTGTGTCGGTCAGTCTTTGCAGTATGTGTTTTCTTTGTATTGAAAAATTGAACAATGTAGAATCATTTATACAACATTGATTACTTACTCCGCCCTTCCCTAGCGGAGACTCACACCCAGCGTAACACGGAGAGTGATAACTAATTCCATTGGATCCACAAATAGGAAAGAAATCATCTTCTTTACAGCCACAATTTGATGAACATACGGCAGAAAAGTTTGAAGACAGAAGTCTGTCTCCGTTTTTACTGAAATAAAAGAACTCGCTTCACTACATGGTAAAACCCATCTCTTTGCTTTATACTTTCAGTAAATAATTTAAACACTAAGAACCAAAACCAACCAATGTTCTTCATTTTTTTTTTTTTTTTTTTTTCATTTCTCTAAAACTACCAAGTGCCTTTCGAGTTTGAAAACTGTTAAAAAGTTACTAAAAAAAAACTTAACATGCATATCGTTGTATCTATACCTAGATTCCTGTACACACTTTTTAAAGTTACACTTGTACACAACACAACAAACAGACATCGCTTATCCCTGTTTTATGATACTTACTACAGACATTGTGAAGTAGATTCAGTATTGCTTTTTACAAATATCAACGATTCTCGGCTCAACAATACATTACCCTTGCACCACTAACGAGTTCTGACATGATAAAACATCTGTAGGATGCAGCTCAATTAGCAATGTCCTTTTACCGTATGTTATTCTAAATGTCCGGCGCTATTCACTCCTATGGTATTTTGCAGTTTATGATAGATTTAAATGTGGTTTCTTGAGTCGTGTATATATATATTACCCTAAAAGTGTAACTCGGTCCCTTCTTCTTTCATATCATGCACGATGAATCATACCAAGGTCTGTCACCAAATTTTGAGACTTTTTTTCTTCCAAATATGTCGATTGATATCAATCATTAAATATAAGGAAATCAAAATATCCTTATTGAAATGATCTGAACGTGTGAAAGAATATCTCCTAGGTAACGAACACCACATTCTTTCACTGTAATGTATGATATACCTGTTTGGACCAATGATTTGTGGTTGATCACACCCCAGGAACAGACAGCCAGCAAAGAGAAGTATGTTAGCAGCATAGAAAGCAACAAGAAGTCCAAACGTCTTACAAGGCGTCAATTTCATCCGCCGGGTAATAAACCCACCAACGAAGGATCCAATGGCCACGGAGGAGATGTTGGCGAATGCTGTATGGTATAAAAGTAGAAATTTACCGGAAGTGAATGCTGTATGGTATAAAAGTAGAAATTTACCGGAAGTGAATGCTGGTTGGAATAAAAGATGAAATTTACCACAAGTGAATGCTGGTTGCTATAAAAGTAGAAATTTACCTGAAGTGAATGCTGGTTGGTATAAAAGTAGAAATTTACCGGAAGTGAATGCTGGTTGGTATAAAAGTAGAAATTTACCGGAAGTGAATGCCGGTTGCTATAAAAGTAGAAATTTACCAGAAGTGAAATTGCTATCGAAGGCTGTATAGATTTGAAACCTCATGAAATTCTAGCCTTAATTTTAGGATGCTACAAAATAAGTATGGGGTACAAGATATCATTCAGGTGAAAGTTTCAACGTCAAGTGCAATATCGTATTTAAAATTTATAGGTGAAAACTTGAAAAGCCCCTACTTTAAGTATACATCGAGGATAATGTGTACGTGCCTGAAATGTATAAATGATTTTTTCACTGTAACTCCTTTACAACTGACCTGTCAAGGAGAGACGCATATGTTAACGATGAAGTGGGTGCTTTTAAAGATATGTGTTGAACTTAGTTGTTAACCCTTTAAGGTTTCATAACTATCATGGACGTTACGATACTTGTTTATTTATTTATCTATTTTTTTTTGTCCTGGATACGGTTGCCATGCTGGAAATTTACTTCAGCTGCTATTCGCCGAAATATGTTTAGGTTTGAGATAATTCATATCGGTTTGACAGATATGATGGTGATTGGGCATGTTTTGTGTACGTATCATTACTATATATTTACCCCGGGTGATATTAACCTGTCATGGAAACAAATTGTCTCTATATATTTACTCCGGGTGATATTAACCTGTCATGGAGACAAATTGTATATATTTACACAGGGCAATATTAACCTGTCATGGAGAAAAAATGTCTGTATCTATTTACCCGGGGTGATATAAACCTGTCATGGAGACAAATTGTCTCTATATATTTACCTATATATATTATCATGGAGACAAGTTGTCTGTATATATTTATAGTTGATACCTGTCATGGAAACAAATTGTATATATTTACACAGGGCAATATTAACCTGTCATGGAGAAAAATTGTCTGTATCTATTTACCCGGGGTGATATAAACCTGTCATGGAGACAAATTGACTGTATATATTTACCTAGAGTGATATTGGCCTGTCATGGAGACATAGTGACTGTATATATTTACCTAGAGTGATATTGGCCTGTCATGGAGACATAGTGACTGTATATATTTACCTAGAGTGATATTAGCCTGTCATGGAGACATAGTGACTGTATATATTTACCTAGAGTGATATTAGCCCGTCATGGAGACAAGTTGTCTGTATATATTTACCTAGTGTGATATTGGCCTGTCATGGAGACATAGTGACTGTATATATTTACCTAGAGTGATATTAGCCCGTCATGGAGACATAGTGGCTGTATATATTTACCTAGTGTGATATTGACCTGTCATGGAGACATAGTGACTGTATATATTTACCTAGTGTCATATTGGCCTGTCATGGAGACATAGTGACTGTATGTATTTACCTAGAGGTGATATTGGCCTGCCATAACGGGATGTTGAACTGAGTATGTATATATTTACCTAGAGTGATATTGGCCTGCCATAACGGGATGTTGAACTTTGTATGTATATATTTACCTAGAGTGATATTGGCCTGCCATAACGGGATGTTGAACTGAGTATGTATATATTTACCTAGAGTGATATTGGCCTGCCATAACGGGATGTTGAACTGAGTATGTATATATTTACCTAGGGTGATATTGGCCTGCCATAACGGGATGTTGAACTGAGTATGTATATATTTACCTAGAGTGATATTGGCCTGCCATAACGGGATGTTGAACTGAGTATGTATATATTTGGAGAGAAAGGCATAGTATCCTGCTCTGCCAGCCATATCGAGTGTTGAACTGATCATCTGCGCCATGTAGACAGGGTTCTTTATTATTCTCAAGTACGACATGGCACTCTCTGTAAATAAGATATGTGAAGTTTAGTATTGTATATGTTTCTGTGTTAAATCAAAATGACTAAAGACTTTAGATTGATTAATATTAAAAAACGAGGTTAGGTGGAATATAGATGAATGATGCAATAACAAACCTAATGAATATCTAATTAGATAAATATTGAAGTTTCTGTACCATTGAAGTATTTGTGTAGTATTTCATTGTTCTGTTTCCGATTACTCAATCATGTTACTTAAAACATCGATATACATCACTAGCGTTGTTCCTGAATACAAATTGGTCTTTTATGTATTTAATGGGTTATGTCACTAGTAGGGTTAAGGTATCATAATTTAAAGGTGAGAACAGTGCACACTTGTACCTTTTATTTTTTCTCTCCGACTCATTTCCTCTCTGGTCTTGCCTTCAACAACAGGAACCGCCTGTTTCTTCAGATTTCTTGGAAACAAGACAAGAGGAATTGAGCACACAATGCTAGCGGCTCCAAACACCAGGAACCCCAGCCACCAGGCCCCTACCCATCGAGGGTCACGTGGAGACATATCAACGTCTGTAACCAAAACATAACAGCATAGCCATAAGACCAATTAATTTCAGTGGAATTCCTCCTGACGTTGTTGTCGTCGCTCTTTTTAGTAAACATTTATTTCCTCTTAGAGTAGATCTACAAATTGTTTAGAGAAATGAGTCTGGTAATAGTCGTAGGAAACTAATGGGAGAGAACTCCAACATCAAAGAACGTAAGGAATTGTCGCCTAGCAGTAAGCACAAAATGGTCAGTCACATGAATATAAGTCACCCCGGATATATTGAATCGTTGGAAATATTCGCGAGAGTTGAATTCATTTCGCTATAATTGCGATCTATACGATAACACGAAATCAGATAACTTGCAAAGATATTTACAGTGGATCAAAGTCTCAGAAAAGCATTTATGGTTGTGAACATGTATACCACTGATAGAAATTTTGATACAGCGAAATGTTAGCCTTAGAGAAGTTCAACATCCCGCTATGCCGCTGATGGTGTCGTTACTGTTGTGACTGTATCAGAAATGTTACTGTATCGGAGATGTTACTGTATCAGAAATGTTACTGTATCAGAGATGTTACTGTATCAGAAATGTTACTGTATCAGAAATGTTACTGTATCAGAGATGTTACTGTATCAGAGATGTTACTGTATCGGAGATGTTACTGTATCGGAGAGATTACTGTATCAGAGATGTTACTGTATCAAAGATGTTACTGTATCGGAGATGCTACTGTATCGGAGATGTTACTGTATCAGAGATGTTACTGTGTCAGAGATGTTACTGTATCAGAAATGTTACTGTATCAGAGATGTTACTGTATCAGAGATGTTACTGTATCAGAGATGTTACTGTGTCAGAGATGTTACTGTATCGAAGATGTTACAGAGATGTTACTGTATCGGAGATGTTACTGTATCGGAGATGTTGCTGTGTCAGAGATGTTACTGTATCAGAGATGTTACTGTATCAGAGATGTAACGGTATCGAAGATGTTACAGAGATGTTACTGTATCAGAGATGTTACTGTATCAGAGATGTTACTGTACCAGAGATATTACTGTTTCAGAGATGTTACTGTCAGAGATCAGAGATGTTACTGTATCAGAGATGTTCAGAGATGTTACTGTATCGAGATGTTACTGTATCAGAGATGTGTACAGAGATGTTACAGTATCAGAGATGTTACTGTACCAGAGATGTTACTGTATCAGAGATGTTACAGAGATGTACCAGAGATGTTATTACAGACCAGAGATGTTACTGTATCAGAGATGTTACTGTATCGAAGATGCTACAGAGGTGTTACTCTATCAGAGATGTTGCTGTATCAGAGATGTGACTGTACCAGAGATGTTACAGATATGTTACTGTACCAGAGATGTTACGGTATCATAGATGTTACAGAGATGTTACTGTACCAGAGATGTTACGGTATCAGAGATGCTACAGAGATGTTACTGTGTCAGAGATGTTACTGTTTCAGAGATGTTACTGTATCGAAGATGTTACAGAGATGTTACTGTATCAGAGATGTTACTGTATCAGAGATGTTACTGTATCAGAGATGTTACTGTATCAGAGATGTAACGGTATCGGAGATGCTACAGAGATGTTACAGTATCAGAGATGTTGCTGTATCAGAGATGTTACTATACCAGAGATGATACGGTATCAGAGATGTACCAGAGATGTTACGGTATCAGAGATGTTACAGAGATGTTACTGTATCAGAGATGTTACTGTATCAGAGATGTTACAGAGATGTTACTGTATCAGAGATTTTACTGTATCAGAGATGTGACTGTACCAGATATGTTACAGTATCAGAGATGTTACAGAGATGTTACTGTACCAGAGATGGTACTGTATCAGATTTGTTACTGTACCAGAGATGTTACGGTATCAGAGATGTTACAGAGATGTTACTGTACCAGAGATGTTACGGTATCAGAGATGCTACAGAGTTGTTACTGTATCAGAGATGTACCAGAGATGTTACGGTATCAGAGATGCTACAGAGATGTTACGGTATCAGAGATGTTACTGTATCAGAGATGCTACAGAGTTGTTACTGTATCAGAGATGTTGCTGTATCAGAGATGTTGCTTATCAGAGATGTTACTCTACCAGAGCTGTTACGGTATCAGAGATGTACCAGAGATGTTACGGTATCAGAGGTGCTACAGAGATGTTACGGTATCAGAGATGTTACTGTATCAGAGATGTTACTGTATCGGAGATGTTACTGTACCAGAGATGTAACTGTATCAGAGATGTTACAGAGATGTTACTGTATCAAAGATGTTACTGTATCAGAGATGTTACTGCAATGAAATATTGACCCGGAAACCTTGAAAACGAAGTACCTGTTCAACATATATGTAAAGCAAAGTTATATAGTGTAAGCTAGTTGATACTGAAGTGCTGAAAAGATATCATAGGCATGTTGCTACTAAAATACATATATATATATATTCAAATATACGACATACGGGTACATTTCGCCCATATTTCGCCTTCGCCTCTTTCGCCCTTTCACAAATAGAGCGAAAAAAGGCAAATGTTTTATGTTTAAGTTTAAATGTATACATTCATATTTACTGTCGAATTAATTACTGTGTAACAATAATCAGTGTTTGATGAGCAGGCGATAACAACACTTGGCGAATGTTCCACTTGTTAACAGTATTTTTACAATGATAATGGAATGCAATACACAACCTACCTTCTAATGTGACATAAACCCGGCTCAACATCCCCCCAAATACATAGCCCAGTACAGGTCCACATATTGCTAATGCAATGATCACTCCTAGTAATAGAACAATATCAATTAGTTATGAAATAGCATTTTTGCAAGGTATATTTAGTTAAACAGAAGAATGCACATGGTTGAAATTTAGAAAAAAAACATTCAAGTGAAACATTTTGAATATTAATCGTCATGTTAATGGGCAACTTAATAACAATACTTAAAGCGATACGATTAGCTGATAAGGAAAACTGTGTATTTGTGTCAATTAATAGTATAATTAATTCCCTCAAAAATTATTCTTCAAAGCTTCGTCATATGAACGTTACCCTGTTAACGTTTTTATCTGAACAACTGATAGAATACTGAAGATGTTTTGATAAATATGATCCATAATATTTCGAAATCGTCATTTCTACAATTATTCGTGCGTTTAAATTCGGACAGGATCAAACAAATTGGAAAAAGAGGGAACATCTGTAAAATGATCTCTCACCCATGTAGAATCCGGTCCTGCTTCGTTTGCCGTTGTCGTCAATATAAACAGTGACAAAGGGTCCTCTCAGTGATTTACCAACACCCTGAAGCATCATACCAATTCCAAAGAACGCAAGGAACATCCGTCTGATTCCGTCATTCACAAGCTCGATTCCGGAAGCTTGTTCGGCATTTCCACTCACGCATGCGTCAGACGTCACATTCGTTTCGTTGATTAGTGTAATACATAATGGAATGTTGTTGGAAGCCGCCATTATGGGTTTACTTCCGTTGATCATTGCGAATGGGTCAGAAGTGACGAACTGAATGCTGTTACTAGCAAGACTGATAAAGTGGGGGACACTACAAAGAATCCCTGACACGCCATAAAGCACGAAAGCCCAAAATAAAATTAGAGGAATGTGTACGTACTTTGCTAGAGAACTGATGAAGAGGATGAAACTGAAGTAACCGATATCGTTAAAACTCATAATAAATCCACTATAACTGCTTTTTAATCCATATTGCCGTTCTATACTTGGAATCTGTGATCCTAGATAGGACGACATTAATGACGTCATAGTACCTACAATGCTGTACACGCCGATAAACGATTGGATATTGGCGAATTTTTGTAGAAAATCAGGTCGGCATGATCCGAGTCCGCACTTCCGGGTGTCAGCGTCGTCATCTTCCTCTTCCACCATTGGTACTTTTTCAGCTCTATCGTCATTCAGTATAAACGTATCTCCCGCAGGTGATGTATTTTTGCTCTCATGATCCATGCTGATATCCTGGGATTAGGTCATAATTGGAACCATTATAACATTTACAACTTTTTATTTTTCTAGTAATATATATATATATGTTACTTACATATATGATACATGGTATAAAACATCGCCAGAGATGTCAATATGATGAAAATCTAAATTCAAATTTAATAAAACAAGTCGAAATTGTGAGCAGCTGAATAATTAACACAGTGACTCCTGAAAAAGAACACGGAAGACAAGACCAGATGTTCCAGAAGAGTAAGTGCCTTGTGTTTCATTGATGACACCCTTCATTAGTTCAAGAAAGCAATGTCAGGTTTCAAAACGAGAACAAGGTACACAACAACGGAACCAACAGGCAAACTAACGAGCATTAAACACGTCCACTTAACATCGTACAGAGAAATAGATTATGTCTTAGTGAAATCAACATGACGACCGTGAAACCTCCCCATAAATTTTACCAACCTGCATCTTTTGAAACTCATTGACAGGTTTATCGACTAGTTGAGGCTTTCTGCAGGAAAATCGTGGATATCGAATCAATTGCGATATGTTTTCTATTTAGAAACGGAAAAAATCGTAATATGTGAAGTCGTGGGAGAGCTGTCTTTGTTGGTTTCGTTGTAATGCAAGATCGAGATATGCGGTTAATGTAGAAGAGTCGGTCGTGTCCTCGATTTCTGTTTGGTATATACAAGACAAGACATGATCAATATATATGACACTGAAATTAAACAACTTGGCAAGGTCTTCGTGATCTGTTTTGAAAAGCTCTGCAATAAATTCAGCCTCGTATGACAACAAAAACAAGTCAGCCAACAGAGGGGCATAGAGAGTTCAAATGGTTATGTCATTAGTCTGTTGGAAGGTCTTTCCGCCAAACTCGACGAAGATGTCAACCAGAAACTCGACCAAAACACACTTGATTAAACTCCGAAAATAAAAACCGTCTCATATTCTAGTGTCAATATCATTTCACTTTACATTGTTCTGGATAACTGTCTTCGAAACGTATAAAAGATTTCTTAATCATGAATTAAGAACATAAAACATTAAAGACAGGAGTACATTTGGGATTTATCGCCTGCCTTTATTCCTGTGAAAGGCAAAACCAGGAAGTCGAAGGATAAAGTGATCTAGGCGGATTCAAAGCGAGAATAATTCAGCAAAATTTTCCTTTATTATCATAAATCAAATGTATGACTTACATGGTTTATTTTTTTTTTCTATTACAACCACACAGATATGCCCCTTAGACTGAAATGCACTTTTGCAAGCGCGCTATCCATGAAGTGGACTCTGTGCGGTAGTTAAGTTAGTAAGTGAAAACGAATTGAAATCAAACTCATCAAAGAAACTGACGTCATTAAATAGCAACTATTTTGGATTATAGGTTCGCAATTAATAATAAAAACCTTCTTTCCTTTGGCTAGGTATAATTTATTGCATTAAGCAAGCAAACAACGATTCTCATTATCTCTGCAGAACATTCTTCAAAAGGAGTTTCTACCAACCTCACGTTATGTACTCATATTGAGATAAGGTACTATGAATGACTACACTGTTTCGATAAATGAAATTGACATGAAGTAGAAAAAAATATTAATTTATTAAAATAGTTTTTTTCAAAATTCTCGGGACTTAACATCAATCATGTTTAGACAAATGTTCTATTGTTTGGTAGTAAAATGTACAGCTTTGAAACTTTTTTAACGAGAATTAAACTTACAGATTGGAAAAACTAGGTAATTATTTTTTTTTTAATTTTTTTTTCTCTCTCTTTCTCTTTTAATTGACTTTTCAGTTGAATTGACTGAAATCCCTAAATTGAATTATAATAAAAGATGAATTCTACTCAAATCTACAAATAATGCATGGGAAAAGCGGATTTCGACTCCTATTGACGAAATAAATGTCACAAAATCTATGTTGATATCTCAGTTCAACTACTTGCTTATTACTTGAACGAACCCCTCAGAGAGATATATTATTAAATTGATTTCTCTTATTTTTAGTTTATCTATGGAATGAAGTGTCACCTAAAAACGAGATGTTGTTATTCAAGATTATTTGGATGAGGGTTTAAAAGTGATTGATACTCAAGCAGGTTATTTAATTCAGACGGAAAATTAACTGTGCTCCTAATCACTATGATACACCAGAAGAAGTTACAAAATTATTTATCTTTTATTCCAGCTGTTAAAATATATTCTGGAAAGATGTGTTTCACAACTGGGAAAACATTCAGAAATCATCATTCTTTATGAAGCATTTAATAAATCATTATTCTGTTATGAAAAAAACTCTCTGGTACAATAATGATGTACAAGTCGGTGATTAATCCATTTTCTACCAACACTGAATGACTTGGTTAAATCTGATTTTTATACACTTTTTGAATTTCTTGATCTATATAAAGTTAACACAAATTTTCCTCAATACCATAGCTTAGTATTGGCAGTAAGCACTCCTGATGGTGAAGCAATCCAAACCTTTTATACGACAGCGTCTGGAAATATTTTATAGAAATAAAAAAAAAGGTTCAAAATACTTCTACCAATATCTCATTACACCAGCATCAGTGTGAACAGGTGTGTACCATTAGTGAAACTCGTTTTTCTATGATTAGATATACACAGTATTTTCCGATAATTACACTTGCACAAAGGATTAAGGTAACAAGTCTAGCAAGCAAATCTCATCATAATTAATTTGTTCCGCCAAAATATAACGTTCGGAAAGCAGCATCCGAAAATGAGTAAAGAAATCAGCCAATCAGGTCTCAACAGCCTCCTACATATGCACGGAATTCGCTGTTAATAAAACTTGGGCAAGGGATTAAGGTAACATGTGTAACAACAAATCGTAAAGCAGCCCCCGGACGGATGGAAGGACGGTCGGACAGAACCTATTTCAATATCCCCCGCAAATATCGTTGGGCGGGGAAAAAAAATTAAAACATGACAGTGCTCCAAACCTACATTTAGAAATATCTAATGATACTCCTATTTTAGAGATTAGATTTTATTCACTCTGTCCTTTTATGCCGAATTGTTAGATGATGATGGTGATGATGATGATTTATATGTTTAAATGTTATACCTGTCTTGTCTTGTTAGTTTCATGTATTATGCAAATACAAAAAAAGATAAAACATACGTCAGATTCTGTACCTATGCAATTGTGAAGCTAATGTAAATCCACACAAAAATAATTATTATTTCGTATTTTCTGACACTCAAAAGTGCAATAGTGATTTCGAAGGGACTGCAAATGTTGGAAATGTGGAATCGAAATAGATCCCCCCACCCCCCTTCCCACCTTTTTTATGATGTCATGAAATAAATTATCTTCTTAAGTAATTTGTAAACAGCGCCCTATAGAGTAGAAGTGCCGGCTGATCATATATGAGATGTGACAAGAATAGTCAATGAGGCTATGTGAGTTTTGGGATTTTTTTACCAGTGAACATAAAGCGTTTTGACGTAAACACATAATTCTCAACCTAGGAATAAGTCTTCCTGAACAAACTTGACAGGATAAAACTTAGACACAAAATTAGGAGTTGAGTGGATCAAGCTTTTAATAGACTCGTCCGTGATGATAAAAACGTGCGGTAATCATGAATTCGCACATGCAAAATCAGGTACAACATTTTCCCACAAAAGAATAGGAGCTACAATCAGTAAATAATCTCAGCGCTGTTGTACAGGTCCGATATAATTTGTAAAGAATGTCAAGTGCATGTGATTATTATCTTAACACGTGAAGCTACTATAGACGCCAGCGTGCTCGGAAATCTACCAGCAACAGAGCCTGAGACCTCTATGATGTTGTTCATCATTTAGTTCTACTGTATCTAACTCTTAATTTGTGTTGAAAGGTGCAATTCAAAAAGCAATCTTCCCCTTTGTCAAGACACAAGATAAGACACAAATATTACATAATTTGAATCACATACATGGCACATAAATAAATAACATGTTAGAAACTACTAATTTTATATATATTTGTAAACGGTGTTCATGATTATTTACCAAGGATTTTAATCTGTAAAGCGTAAAGGCTTTCATTACTGGATTAAAAAAGAACTGTTTTATTATAAACACATACATTATATGATGTAAATACTGATACTTACGATAGCAGTGTTCTCTCCTCGAGGTCCACTTATCTAGAAGCAAAATATGACACATATAATCTCCACGTGATAACCAACGAAGTTAATCTTGATGCATGTCCACGCTTGTTAACTGTACTGCTTAATTAGGAGTTAGGGTTGGTGAAGATGTCAACGCTTTTAAACTGTACTGCTTAATTCGTAGCTAGGGTTGGTGGAGATGTCGACGTTTGTAAACTATACTGCTTAATTAGGAAATAGGGTTGGCGGAGATGTCCACGCTTGTAAACTGTACTGCTTAATTAGTAGCTAGGGTTGGTGGAGATGTCCACGTTTGTAAACTGTACTGCCTAATTAGGAGATAGGGTCGGCGGAGATGTCCACGCTTGTAAACTGTACTGCTTAATTAGTAGCTTGGGTTGGTGGAGATGTCCACGCTTGTAAACCGTACAGCTTAATTAGTAGTTAGGGTTGGCGAAGATGTCCACGCTTGTAATCTGTGCTGCTTAATTAGGAATTAGGGTTGGTGAAGATGTCCACGCTTGTAAACTGTGCTGCTTAATTAGTAGTTAGGGTTGGTGGAGATGTCCACACTTGTAAACTGTGCTGCTTAATAATTAGTTAGGGTTGGTGGAGTTCTCTACCCTTGTAAACTGTACTGCTTTATTAGGAATTAGGGTTGATGTAGAAGTCCACGCTTGTGAACTGTACTACTTAATTAGTAACTAGTGTTGGTGGAGATGTCCACGTTTGTAAACTGTACTGCTTAATTAGGAGATAGGGTTGGCGGAGATGTACACGCTTGTAAACTGTGCTGCTTAATTAGTACATGTAGCTAGGGTTGGTGTAGATGTCCACACTTGTAAACTGTACTGGTTGATTAGTA